TTGCTTGTCCCTCTTTCACAGAAAACCACACTCTCTGTTCCTCTTTTCTTTTTCTGGCACATGTCCTGCGAGCCGTTCCTGAACGCTGACTCAGACAGCCTGGCTGCATTGCTGGAGATAAATGAAGACGATTGATTTCTGAGCACCACACATCACTGGCTTGTTATCACTTGTTATCATTCCATTACATGCCTGCAGTATTGTCAAATCTTTTCCCGTTATGTCAGCCATAATGACGAGCTTGATGTTGATAAAAAAACATTGACACAAAACCGGATCTTGTTTTTTGCACCGAGAGGCCCTATCATTTTTTTTTTTCTTCCATAATACATGCTTCACTTACATAAATTCAAAGCACTGTAATTACTTATTTGTTGGAGTTAACTAACCTTACTAATTTAGCATTTTAAACATTGCCATTGGAAAATCAGAAACACATACAGAAACTATTCTTGACTCATTGTGAGTCTGATATGATTAACCTGTGGTTAAAGTGAGTCAATTCTGTCCAATGTTCAGAATGATGACTCCTGTGGTCAATGCAGTCTAATTTACAATGCGTTACTTTTAAGGGTACTTTTATTTGTCAGTAATTCATTTATACATTTTTTTGTTTAAGCCTTATATAATTCATATTATCATATATTATTTTTACAATCCATTATTTATTTTACTTTATTATTACAAAATGCAATATATTATTATTTTGTATTTTTTTTTATACTTTCATTTTTTTACAATAGCAGGGGCCTGTACCATGATGGTAGTTGAACAAACTCATTCAAATGAATTTCTCGTGAGAGAAGCAGTGCAATTCACCTTTTTAAATTTAAAAAAATTTACACAGCAAGAAGAAAATAGCTGTCTTTGAAAGAGGACAACTAAAAGAAAAGGTCTTGCTATATTAGTGCAAGTAAAAGTTGTGAAGTTAGTTTATACAGTTGATAAAAGTATAGAGAGAATTGAACATTAAGCTCACATTTAGTCTTTTTATAGTGTATTTATACTACCTTTATATACTTATTCATTTAAAATCTGCGTAATAATAATAATAATAATAATAATAGATGAACTGAAATTGTACATGTGAGATCGTTTAAGGGTATAATAATTACATAAATAATTCCTAAATCATACAAATATATTAGGTAACACTTTATTTCGATAGTCCACTTTAGACATTCTACTAACTATTAATAACTTTTTAACTACATGTTAACTGACTGTCATTAGAGTATTAGTAGACTGTCAGCTTAATATCTTCTAACACTTTTTTTTGTTGGTCCCCCAACAGACATTCAACTGACTATAAGTAAACTTATTCTCCTAACCATAAGCTAACAGTTTACTGACAGTCTATGATAATATAGTAATATTCTAATGAGAGTTACTTGACATGTACGTAGTTGAAAAGTTACTTATAATTAGTAGAACGTCTAAAGTGACTATCGAAATAAAGTGTAACCATATTATTCAAAATAGCCATTTCTAAAAATAACTTGCTATGTAGTGACCTTTAATTTGGAGTAGAAACTGGTGGAGTGACTTTTATCGTGTCAGACATGTGTCACTTTGCTCACAGCGGATTGGTCCGAGTTCGTTTTGCAAACTCTTACCTGGAACATAACCTGGCGATGGACACTGCTAATAGCCAAACCACTTTCATGGTGCCTAAACCACAGGGTTGGCGCAAACTAAACTGAATCATACCTGGCGAGCCACCTAAACCGGCTTCATGGTAGAGGCCCCAGTTGTGGGAAACACTATTTGAAAAGTGCTTTCTATTGTTCCTTTTTTTTTCTTGAGTAAATCATTTAAAGGGTAATTAAACCCCTGGTCAGAGCCTGACTCCACCCACTGGCAATATTTGAAAATGCTGAAAAAGTGCGCTGACCCCATCAGAGACGAAAATAGATACTGAAACACTCTATTTTGGTCGTTTTCAATACTCACAATTCCAATTCCTGACTCCCTACAATGGTTTTGATGACACAAGATGGTTTTTATACTGCCAAGGGCGTAGCTCGCGTGGTGAGCTGAAACCTGCGTACGTCACGAAGTGTGGAACATCCAATAGGAAAATTCAACTGCAGTAGCCACCGTTCAACCTGAAGAGGGCAGCACTAAGATGTTTTTACACCATATATTGTAGAAATAGAACACTTTATAAATAAATGTCAAAAAAGTTACTCGAATCAATGACTGGTATTAATAAAGATCCATTCTTAGAGATCATTAACTAAAAAAAAGTTGGTTTAGTGTTTAGTTACTCTTTAAAGTTTGCTCTCCTTTTTCTATAGGTCGATTCCGTCAAACAGAAGTACTGGCTACGGTGGCAAACGTTTTCACAGAAATCTACTCTCAAGTGTCCGGAAGACCCATGGAGAAAATCGGCAATGGCGAAATAGAGGTTAAAACGCCTCCATTAAAAAGGAATAATTCGGCTCTGAATGCGGCCAAAATTCTAAAACGGAACATTACGAGACAGAACCTGATGGCCTCCGGCACGGAGGGATCGGCCAGACAGCCTTCGGTGCCTGATGCCGACGGCCCAGAGAGCGTGAACTCTGACATACGGGACGGGCTGACGGATACCGAGCACAAGCTACAGCAGAAAGTCTTTAGGAAAAAAGATTCATCTCTGGCAACAGTGACCGAGGAAGCACAGCAATGTATCTCAGAGCCATCACTCAACGGAGAAATCCCAGAACCTCTAGCTAAGGACTCTACGTTGACAAATGGTGATCACTCCAGTCCGTCACCAGCTCTGGACAAAGACACGCCCCTTTCCCCGGTCCTGGTTAGCATCAGTCGCGTTTCTGACGAGAGGGATCTCAAAGAGCACGAGCACCAGAACACCATCACTTCCACCCCAGATAAAGAACCATCCAACCTGCTGCCCAACCCACACATAGCCCACCTGCTCGGCCAGCCCAGAGACTCCTTTGAAATGGAGGAGGTACAGTTCCCTCTTGCTTCCACTTTACCAAAACAATCCTCCCTGCTTTCCCTTGTCCAGTTCTCACGCTGACAATCATCTCCAAGTTTCCCCTAAAGTTTCTTTTGTGTGCATTTTGTTGTAAAAACAGCAGAGGGTCATGACACTTAAAGCTAAAAATAAGTAGGGAACATGGAGTGCCTGGAGTATTTTCTGGGGATTATGGTTTTGCCTTTGATTATGTTGGAGCATGAATCTAATTCCTAATTGCAGACTTGGGAATCAAAAATCGATTCCAATTCTGAAACCAGATGAAGAGTTCAGATGCAAAAGCCTCTAAATGCCATTTGAAATTTTCTTCTAGAATGGTCATTTTTATCAAGCTTGTATATTTAAGTTCAGTAATTTCACTTAAATGGCGATTAATAGGTAATCTTCATTGCCATTTAAGTGAAATTACTGAACTTAAATATACAAGCTTGATAAAAATGATCATTTTAGAAGAAAATTTCAAATGGCACTTAGAGGCTTTTGCATCTGAACTCTTCAGATACTTAAAGGGATACTCCACTTTTTATGGAAATAGGCTCATTTTACAACTCCCTCAGAGTTAAACAGTTGAGTTTTACCATTTTCAAATGCATTCAGCCCATTTTCTGATATTTAGAAGAATATCAGTAACCAGACAGTTTCTGGTCTCATTGACTTCCATAGTATATATTTTTTCCTACTATGGAAGTCAATGAGACCAGAGACTGTCTGGTTACTAATATTATTCTAAATATCAGAAAATCAGCTGAATGGATTCGAAAACGGTCAAACTCAACTGTTTAACTCTGAGGGGGTTGTAAAATGAGCCTATTTCCAAAAAAAAGTGGAGTATCCCTTTAAGGTCTGGAATCAGATATGTGTTATAAAATGGAAATGTATATTCCTCTTATTGATTCCTTTGTGTGCATTTTAATATGACTTTAAACCATTCGGGCGCACAACGACCCACACGCTGTTTTTAATGCTATGCACACATCTAAAGCATGCGCACAGAAAGCCGCCTTTCATACTGTATAGTGCGCAATACTAAACAGAGTTTTCTTCCACGTCTTTTTGCACTTGAGCTGACAAATACGCTCAAAAATGTGTACAAAATAGTACAAAAATTGGTTATGTCTTAAGTGAACGAAAAAAGTTGATTAGAAAACACGTGTAACAGTGTATTGTATTCGTGCGGCTCTTAAAGTGACAGCAGCCTAATGTTCCTACTGCCGTCTCTATAATTGCGTTAATCAGACAACAAAAACAGAAAATGTACTCGCTGTTTTGGAGTGAATAACTTTTGTAACGATATTTTCGAATGTATATTTTATTTATAAAGTAAAGTGCTGTTATTTTTACATTTGATTGCAGTGTCTGTAAACCTTCATGAAAACCTTAAAAAAATGTTGTATCTTTGTTCAGTTGTCTTTATTGTTCTTTTCTAAATACTGAGTGTTTAGTTGTCTTTAATAATGCTTAAAATATTAGTTAGGCTAGTTGTTTTTGCTATAGTATTTTTTAACCCATAGTCAAAAGTTGTAAAATTATAATATATTATAAATTAATTGAACAGTTAAATATTAATTGTACATTACTAGTGAAGACATAATAATAATATTCGTTTATAATATTAATATACAATTAATAAATTAATGGTTCGATTTATTTGTATATCTTTTTTTGCATGCTTGAAAAGTTGATTGTTTCGAGTGTTTCCCTACTTAAAGGGATAGTTCACCCAAAATTAAAATTTCTAACTCATCCTCATGTCATTCCAAACGGTCATGACCGACACTCTTCTTTCAAACACAAAAGACGTTAGTTTGAAAAATGTCTGTATTTTAACCATACAATGAAAGTCAATGGGTCCAATGTTCTTTGGATGCCAGCATTGTATAAAATATATATTTTTATGTTATACAGATAGACTGTAGATAGTAAGTCTTACAGGTTTGGACCAACATGAGAGTTAGTAAATGATGATAGAATAATCTCTAATTTTTTTTGTTTGAGCATCCCGACACGGCATGATATAGCAACATTGACTCAACCAATAGTTTGAGTTTGGGGTGTGACTATCTGTCTGTCAAAACCACCCAGAACTGTTATCAGGTCATTTTATACACTGGCCCGTGGTCATACCACATTTTCTAACATTGGCTCTTATGAGCTGCATCTTTTGAGTATCTAAAACTGCTGTGATGTTCAAGTGTGACTATTCTGCTGTGTTGTAATCTTTTAGAATGGTAACAATCTATTTCTTTGCAGTTGCAGAGTAATGAGGATGAAGCTCTTCCTGGTCCTGGTGGCATGTCTCGAGATGGCAGCGGTGAGTGTGGACTGACTGCGGTTATCAGTCACGCTACCAGGAAACTGAATTTGTTTTCGCTATTTGCAATTTTGAAGCATTCAAAACACATATCATGAGACCTCTTAGCAGCAGGTTTTGCAGTTACGTTTTCTATGGTATTGTTTGCAACATGACAATCAGTAAGATTTAAATTTCAATTAAGATAGAAACGCTATGACTCATTCCTACTGAGAATGCAACAAATGTGATCATATCGGGTTGTCTTTCCTTAGAATCACCGATATGAATAAGAATATTTTCCTCTGTTTTCTTCTGTCTATCATGCTGTCCAAAAGCCCAGCCCTAAAGTGCTGAAAGGGGACTTTAAGTATGTCTTTTAGAAACAGTATAGAGCAAGTCTGACCTCGTGTGGTAGAATTTAGTAGATGCTCATTAGAAGAATGTTCTAGATTCAAGTTCAAGAGTCATAATTATGTTCTGTGATATGCAACATTATACTACCAAACTTGTTAATATTACAGTGATTAAGTGATAGGAAAACAGACAAATGTGTGGCAATAATTTACAATGTTCACCACACTGAACCTAAATAATGAGATCTAAGCCTTAAAACTCATACGCATGAATGATAAACTAGCTTTAGATTTGAGAAGTCTTTGACCGCTTGGGAAATTAGTCATTCACACTCAGTTTTGGTGCCCGTGTTGTTTCTCCTACAGAGCGGTTATTGAGGACTACCAGCCAGCAGTCTGACAGTAGCGGGTTTGCAGAGGACCCATCCACAGACGGTTCGGGTTATCACCTGAAGGTACGTGAGTGTGGGCAAAACCATCTGGGCTCTCAACAATCAACTATGAATACAAAGTGCAGTCCTCCTCGGATTCATGTTTATGTGAATTTAGTTTGCGCTGATATCATAAAAATTCTATATATGTAATAAATCTGCTTCTGATTGGTGGCCTGTCAATTGGTGCATCGCTACATCTTGAAAATGTCCTCTTTAAGATTCACTAGTGGCACGTGTGTTCTCGGGAAATTCTCAAAACATAAATCTAACTTTCAACATTTGATTTTCCTAAGAACCAGTTGTTCATTGCATAATGAAAGTGAACATTCTCTCTTTTATTAGGTACAAGAAAGCTCAGACAGTTGTGACAGTGAAACTACAGTGACATCGCATGCAGGTGAAGTCAGCACTCCAGTAGCGTTGGAGAACCCCAACTTTAAAATGTTTCTGGGCGAGGAAGCCCAGACAAGAGTCAACAGACAAGTCCCTGAGATTCCCAATCCAAACTCTGACAATGTTAGCACCAATGGACCACTCCTTTCTCCTGACTCTGATAGGGCTTCCAACATAGTGCAAGAACCCGCCACAGACTCTTCAGAAGTGGATTGTACCGTGATTGTAAATCCTACAACAGATTCAGATGGAACTCATGAGAGCAACATATCCCAGCCTGGTTTTGGCATGGATCCAGACTCTCCTAAAGATCTACATTCATCCTTTGGACCAGAGTCATCGGATCTTGAGCAATGCCATCCCGCGGCTCAAAGGAGGCAAACGGCCCATCAAAGGTCATCCTCAATGGACGAGGAACGTCCTGGCCGAGTATGGGTGAGGGACAAGGACTTGCTGAGGGAAACCTCGGAGAGGAATCCTTTTAGGAGATCCAGCTCCCTCCCAATGTCTTCACTCAACCCGACTCGAGTGGTCACCTCCATGCGCATCCAACTTGGAAAGGGTTCGGTCAAGCACTGTACCCCACCCTCGTACACATTCCGCTACGATGAGGAGAATCGCAGTGACCGGGAAGAAGTGGATTCCATCATGGAAGAAGACGAAGTTTATCATGCCGACAGACAATCTACGCTCTTGAATTCTGCTCCAGCAAGTAGATCAAAGACTGATAGGGAAACACCACCACCACCAAACCATCTAAACATACCCCAACATTATCGCTCCTCCAGCTCGCTTTATAGTGTGCCTGCCGACTGGCCCCAGAGGCCCCTGGGTGAAGGTCCAAGCTGGAGCGCATGTAGCGTCCCAAACCTTTCTCATTATACAGGTCCAGCCCACCCTCATCCTCCCCCTCAAGGGTCCTTCTACTCTCCACAACATGGATTGCCCTACAACTTCTCGTACCCTACAAGAATTCCCCACCACACTCCCTACCCACCACCGCAGAGCTCGCCTTATCCTCAGCCACTTCAGAGCCATACATTTACTCCACCACAGGGGGTGACCGTTGCACCCCAGCACAATATGCATTATGCACATCCTCACAGCACACCATACAACCAATTCTCTTCACCTTACAACGTTTCTCAGGGAGCTCCCTATGGCCCCTCATTGAACATCCACGGCAGCCCGTACCATCTTGCGCAGTCCCAGAGTTCCCCCTACAATTTGGGGTACAACAATTCCTCACATCACCTCGGTGCCCCCTATAGCCATCCATATTATCCGTCTCCCCCCTACCCTTTCTCCGTTGGGACTCCTCCGGCACCCGCTCCTGCGATGGGCAGCACAGAGATGCAGCTCATGAGGGTCCTCCATGACATTCGTGGGACAATGCAGAACCTTGGTCAGGTGAGAGCTGCTAAATAATTTGTATACTTGTGTCTTGCATCCTATGTTAAACTTGGTTATTAAATTTTACATTTTATTATATTGTTGTCTGAGGTCAACTTATGACGTTCGCTTGGTTTTTGCGTTCAAAAACATCAAAATGAATCAGTAATAGGCTATTTTCTACCCTAGTTTTTGAGCCTAGCTTAAAAACGCTCGGTTTTTCTGAGCGTCTCGCACTGAAGACTTGGAAGTAAACGCCCACTGCTGTGAGTGGATAACAGTTTTGCATATTATAATGAGTTTTTCAACTCACTAGGCCTATGCTATTTAGCTATGCGTGTAATGCACGAATCGGTGGGCGGGGCTAAACCGGCCGTGGCGTTGATCTTCTTCTGCGGGGGTGGTGTTTTATCCTCTTTGACGTCATAGTTCCCCATTTTGAAAAGCGAGTCGTTTGCTGAGCCTGGTGTCAATAAAAGCTTTTATTGGACTAACAAGGATGTTTTCAGTTCTGAAACTTACAGGATATTCTTATAATATGATGACCTCTATGATGAATATGATGACCTCTTTGATGAATCTCAAGGAAAATTTGATTTCTCAGTTCATCACCCCTTTAATAAGGCAGTGCCTGAGAAGGATGTATTAGTAACATTTCTGATTCTTTCTAATGGTAGAAATGGGTTAGCTGGTGGGGTTTTTGCTATTGCATTGGGCTGGACTTAGATAATAATAAAGATAATAATATCTGAAATTCTTGTCCTTGTGGGGAAATGTTTTGGTCCTCATGAGGAAAACGGCTTATAAATCATATTAAGGGATTTTTTTTTGAAAATGTAAAAAAGCACAACTGTGATTGGTAGTATAAAAATCATTGTCTATGGAAAGTCCCCATTAAACATGAAGAAGAGGTTGTGTCTGTGTGTGTTCATGTGTGTATAAATAGGTTGAGACTTCAACCTGAATGCACACTGACTCCAGGGGACTAAATCAAGGTCACCTTGATTAAACAAGCTTATAAATCATACAGAATTAGTTTTTTGAAAATGTAAAATGCAGATTTCTGTGATGGGTAGGTTTAGGAGTAGGGTTAGTGTAAGTTCATGGAATATACAGTTTGTTCATTATAAAAACCATTATGTCTATGGAGAGTCCCCACAAAGATCTTGAACTGTGTGTGTTTAACCTATGACCTGTAATATGTGTTAAGTTTCACACAAAGTTTTAAATATATCTACATAAAGTAGAACAAGGAAGTGTGTTCCGGATTCCACCCTAAATGCAAATATTCTGCCGAGTCAGCATGCTGCATTATCCCGAGCTCAGTTTATACATGTATTTCCTGCGTGACTCATAAGTGATAACTGATCTGTGGTTTTGTTGGCAGAGCTCATCGGTGCATGGAGGGGACACACCCATTGACAGGATCAGTACACCACGCTCTGTCCAACTGCTTTATGAGGTACATACTTTTCCAAAGAGGAAGGAGTCACATGAGTTGCATCAGTAGAAGCCTCTTATGCAATTGAGATGATCATATAGCTTGTGCAAGAGTTTATGTTGGGTAGTCTTTAACCTAATGTTTATGTCCCTACCGACTTGTTGCAGGAGCTTCAGATGCGGCGCAGGAGTCTGAACGTCTTCCGGACTCAGATGATGGATCTGGAACTGGCTCTCATGAGACAGCAGTCTATGGTCTACCAGCATCTTAGTCCAGATGAGCGGTGAGGAACAAAATCACAAGCCCCGAAGGGCAAAGAGCTTCACCCTCTGGCTCCTTTTGTCCAAGTCTCACACATTGGTCTAGAAAGGCAAAACACTTCTTTTTAAACTGGAGCCTTAAAGGGATACTCCACTTTTTTTGGAAATAGGCTCATTATACAACTCCCCAGTTGAGTTTTACCGTTTTCGAATCCATTCAGCTGATTTTCTGATATTTAGAGGAATATCAGTAACCAGACAGTCTCTGGTCTCATTGACTTCCATAGTAGGAAAAAAATATACTATGGAAGTCAATGAGACCAGAAACTGTCTGTCTGTTTACTGATATTCTTCTAAATATCAAAAAATCGTCACAACTCAACTGTTTAACTCTGGGGGAGTTGTAAAATGAGCCTATTTCCCAAAAAAGTGGAGTATCCCTTTAAGGGGGTCTGTAAAAGAAAAATCGAATTGGAAAGATGTTCCTTGTCGCACTGAATGGCAGTACAATTTTACAGAGAGAACGCCACTAAATGAATTGTCAAATGAATCATACTAATGATTTATAGGCATATTAGTGTGATTTGTAAAGGACATGTGACGCTGAATACTAGAGTAGGCCTAATTGCTTCTGAAAATTCAGCTTTCAGCTACAATTTTAAAATATTTTAAAATAGAAACAGTTGTTTTGAACTAATATTTTACAAAAGCTTGTTAGTTTCAAGTTGCACTGAACAGCTTTACAATTTGATCGAGAGAAAGGCGGATGTAGCAATAAACTCATCAAGAACCCTAAAATGTGGAAACAAATCATACATGCTAATGATTAATCACTATTGAAAAGGTTATTGTACTAGCAAATAATAGTGTTCAACTATTGTTTTTCTATTTCAACCTCAAATTGATACGATCGCTGCACCTCTATTAGTGATTTACCAAGTCTGCAGAACTGATGAAAACCGAAACTTGAAAAACTTGAACTTTTGCTGTTGCAGGCGGGAGGCGGAACATCTGGAAACCCTGCGGACCGCAGTCAGACAGGAGCTGCAGGATCTGGAGCTTCAGCTGGAGGATCGCCTGCTCTATCTGAATGAAGAGATGCGCAGCAGCTCCCAGCACAGCAGCCTCTACCGCCACCACATGGTCAGTGGATGTGACTGCAGCTGCCTCATAATAAATGATAAAATGCTGTAATAGCTTAGCTTAGTCCTATTCTGCCTTAAATTACAAAAAGTATGTATCTGTTTGCAGGTAATAACAAAATATGCATTTCTCATTTTTTATTATCGCCTCTTAGGATTGGAAGTGCAGATTAAGTCTAAATGTGAATTCTAATGTGAGGTTCACAGTGAACCTGATGTATTTAGAATAACCATAAACTGACATTGTTTTATATATTACATTTTCAAAAAGCAGTGTTGAGTTGAATTTTAGCAAAATAACTATTATATACCATTAGTGTGATGACAAATGACTAAAATGTGGAAACTTTGTATATACACTACTGGGTCAGTAAGATTTTTTTTTTTGTATTATAACTTATATTATTATTATTACTTTTATTCAGCAAGGATGCATCAGCTTTCAGAGGAAAGGCATTTATAATACACAAAGGATTTTTATTTCTAATAAATGCTGTTTTTATACTTTCTATTCATCAACAAATCCTAAAAACCAAACATATCCCAGTCCCCTAAAAAAACTGTTTTCAACATTGATAATATTAAGAAATGTTCCTTGAGGACCAAATCAGCATGTTTGAATGATCATGTGACTGAAGACTGGGGTAATAATGCTGAAAACTCAGCTTTGCATCACTGGAATTTCTTTTTTTTTTTTTTTTATGTAAAAATAGAAAACCATTATTATAAATTGTAAAGAATATTTCACAATATTACAGTTTTTACTTTGCTTGTGATCAAATAAATGCAGCTTTGTTGATCAAAAGAGACTTCTTCCAATAGCATTCAAATGAATCTTACAGAATGGTAGATTTGACTCTTTAGTAACAAACACGTGTCTCACAGGGCATGCAGAGAGGTCACAGCATGGAAAGCCTGTCTAATTCTTCAGCGCTGCGGGCCATGGAGCCGGTGAGTGGATTATTCTCATGTTACTGGTTCCTGTATCGGATATCATTTCCATGCCTTATTCTACTGTGTTTCCTTTTCCAATTCTCGTATATGAATGTACAGGTGACGGACCTCCTGAAGGAGCAGTTGTACCTTCAATCTGAGCTGGGATATGATGCTCCCACACTCAGTTCAGGCCGCTCGTCGAGAGCATCCAGCCCTGGCAGATCCAACCGATCACATGACTGTTGCTCTCCTTCCCTGCAAAGAGGCAGCGTTTACCGGGCCACCCTCAACCTCACACCCACCGTCCCTCCACGGCCTGGAATGGAGGTTCCTCGGTCTGAATCCCTGGAAAGGACGGAGCCGAACCCGACACCGACTACTTTAGAGTTCAGCAGAGATGAAGAAGAGTCGTCGCTGGATGGTCGCAGGAGCAGGACGGCTGAGGACTGCTCTCCCACCGAGTGGAGGAGTAGAAGTAGAGGGAATGGTGACCTGCAACATCTTATTCAAGAGGTGAGAGAACTTGTACATTTATCCGAATGAGCCGACTGATGTACAGCATTCAATCGGTTGTTATCGCAAAAAAAAAAATATTTGAGTTCAAAAAGTTTATCAGCTCATTAAACGCAAAGCTTCCGCAAAGAGAAGCTATTTCTATCAAGCAACTTTGAGCCAGGGTTATTATAGTGAACTGAAACTAAAATTAAAACTAAAAAAACTAAAAACCAAAAAAAGTAATAATAATTGAAGAGTTCAGATGCAAAAGCCTCTAAATGCCATTTGAAATTTTCTTCTTTAATAATGATTTTTATCAAAGTTATATATTTAAGTTCAGTAATTTCACTTAAATGGCAATGATAATTACCTATTAATTGTTATTTAAGTGAAATTAATGAAATAAAATATACAAGTTTGATCGTCATTAAAGAAGAAAATTTCAAATGGCATTTAGAGGCTTTTGCATCTGAACTCTTCAATTGTTGCTTGAAATAAAATAAACGCTAACTGAAATAAAATATAAAAAAATATATATATAATTTTTATTTTAGCCAAGGCAGCATTTCTTATTTTCATTTAATTTAACTTGATTTACTAAAAACTGAAATAACTATTAATAAAACTATACAGACATATTTATAAAAAAAATAATAAAAACAAAATCATACTACAAAATTACTAATACTTTGACTAAAATTAAAAGGAAACCAGAAACTATTAAAAAAATACTAAGTTCAAAATATTAATACAAACTGTAATATGATGCTAAAATACTCAATTATAAAACTACTCAATGATACCAAAATAACCCTGCAAACGAACAAGTTCAAACAAGACGGACGTTTAAGGGTTAATTTATTACACAGCGTTTCACTACTTGCATTATGACGGGGATATGAAATATTCATTTGAGAGCAAACCTTTTTAAAATCGTACCTGTTTATTATCTAATAATCCATTACAGTGAATAAAACAATCATTCTAGCAACAGAAATGTTGTGACTGACCAATCAGATTCAAGCATTTTAGAGAGCCGTGGTATGTAATAAGACATTTCTGACAGCAAAATGCCAAGACTGACCCATCACAATTGAGTTTTCCAGACAGACATGTAAAAATACTGTTAGATGCTGCCAAAACATCTAGAAAATGATGATATGGAGACACAAAAGCAGCATGTGTTTTCCGTCCCCGTCTCAAAGAAAGTGGAAAAGCATATTTGACTGTGTCTTTGGCACCGTTAGAGCGAGTCCTTTGTAGCTGTGATGGTTTTTGGTGTGTGTGTGATGATTGACAGATTTGCTCATGAAATATCATGCATCAGTTTATGCTGATTTACAAGTCTCCATGTTCCAGCAGTTCTGATGCTTCTAACGGAAACTTGGACTGAATTTGAATTTGTTGAAGTAAATTTCAAGGCCTGTGGGGTGATGTAACAGCCTGGCAAGACCTGATGTTCTTCATCGGTGTGTCAATACTGTATATTTGACACTTCACATCACTGCCAGTTCTTGGGATTTCATATATGGAGGGGAAAAAAAACTCTTCAGATTGTTTAACATCATTGTGAGTGTTGCTGTATGACAGGTTTACACATACAGTATGTTGTGTTGGGGAGTAACTAAAGTTAAGTTGTAACAACTTTAACTATATTTTTCAGTAGTATGATAGTAGTTCTTTTCTAAAAATGGTGCTTTTCTAGAAACAAGATACCATAATTTCTTAAAATAAGTCACACCTAATTATGAAGATGGGTCAAAATTGCATTGTCGAGATAATTGCAGTCTGTGTACAAATTAATTTTTTTTTATCTATCTATCTATCTATCTATCTATCTATCTATCTATCTATCTATCTATCTATCTATCTATCTATCTATCTAACTGGTAACACTTTTACAATAAGGTTCATTAGTTAACATTAGTTAACTACATTAGTTAACATGTACTAAGAATGAACAATAATTCTTCAGCATTTATTAATCTTAGTTAATATTAATTCCAACATTTACTAATACATTATTAAAATCAAAGGTTGTATTAGTTAACATTAGTTAATGCACTGTGAACTAACATGAACACACAATGAACAGCTGTATTTATATTAAGTAACATTAACAAAGATTAAAAAACACTGTAACTAATGCATTGCTCATCGTTAGTTCATGTTAGTTAATGCATTTACTAATGTTAACTAATGAACCTTATTGTAAAGTGTTACCCTGAAACTTGTGGGAAATGTGCTATACAAATAAACGTGGTCTCACGTTACTCTTACATCTGGGACTAATCCAAACTTGTCCACTTTGTGAATGTTTGGCATACTTGACTATAACTGCATTATAAGTCACTTTGAAATGTAATTTCATGTAAATAATTCAAATTATTCACATTTTAGGTGGTCTTACTATATAGTTAGTGTTTGATTTTCCTGCCTGTAATGCAGTCTAACATCATTTCTTGTATCCTCCCGCAGATTAAAGATAGCCTCGCTCATGAAATCAGGCAGGAGATTGTGAACGAGCTTCTGGCTGCTGTGTCGCCACATAGATCTCCTCTTCCAGCCAGGAAGCCTCCTGTGTAAGCAGCAGAACAGAGGATGGAGGTTGGTTTGATGGATCACGTTATGCTCAATACAGATCTGTTAAGTGCTTGAAACACATACCGGTATGTGTGTGTTCTTTATATATATATCTGTATACTGTATATAGTAGTGGTCAAAAGTGATTTCAGGATATTTGTTTTAATGACGCTACAAGTTCAATTAAGCCATCAATATATGAGGAAAAAATTTCATGTTTGAATGAAAGAAGAACAAAACATCTGACATTTGTTTATCTGACAAAATTATTTGGCAAAATTACAGTTACAGGTTTTAATTTACTCTGCAAGAAATTCATAGGAAAACCAAAAGCTCACAGGGAAAAGCATACATTAACTACATCATATTCAATATTTTGTTTTTGCATGCATTCATAATTTGTAAGACGGCCTTTCCAAAAATAATTTCCACACAATTTGACATTTTTCACTGCAGTATTACAAATAAAACAATTCACTCCACGCACTATATATATATATATATATATATATATATATATATATATCTGTATATATAGTAGTGGTCAAAAGTGATGTCAGGATATTTGTTTTAATGACGCTACAAGTTCAATTAAGCCATCAATATATGAGGAAAAAATTTCATGTTTGAATGAAAGAACAAAACATCTGACATTTGTTTATCTGACAAAATTATTTGGCAAAATTACAGTTACAGGTTTTAATTTACTCTGCAAGAAATTCATAGGAAAACCAAAAGCTCACAGGGAAAAGCATACATTAACTACATCATATTCAATATTTTGTTTTTGCATGCATTCATAATTTGTAAGACGGCCTTTCCAAAAATAATTTCCACACAATTTGACATTTTTCACTGCAGTATTACAAATAAAACAATTCACTCCACGCACTATATATATATATATATATATATATATATATATATATATATATATATATCTGTATATATAGTAGTGGTCAAAAGTGATGTCAGGATATTTGTTTTAATGACGCTACAAGTTCAATTAAGCCATCAATATATGAGGAAAAAATTTCATGTTTGAATGAAAGAACAAAACATCTGACATTTGTTTATCTGACAAAATTATTTGGCAAAATTACAGTTACAGGTTTTAATTTACTCTGCAAGAAATTCATAGGAAAACCAAAAGCTCACAGGGAAAAGCATACATTAACTACATCATATTCAATATTTTGTTTTTGCATGCATTCATAATTTGTAAGACGGCCTTTCCAAAAATAATTTCCACACAATTTGACATTTTTCACTGCAGTATTACAAATAAAACAATTCACTCCACGCACTATATATATATATATATATATATATATATATATATATATACACACACACACATATACATATTCAAACAAAAAGTTATTCAGACACCGGACATAATTTTTTCCCAAGTGGGTGCAGGCCACTATAGTTAATTTATGTAAGTGAGGATAGCAAAAGAAAATAAACTGTGACATATTATACCCAAAAATAATATCATACAGTGGACTACTAATAAAATCTATTAAAATTTGGAACCAAAAATTAATCAGACACTTTGACCTGACCATGATTTGCTTCAGTGTTTTTTCTTTAATTGCTCATTTTTACACTACGACCTTTTTACACTACAGACTGAACAAAATTAATCTTTATTTGGTAATTGGTTGACCTAAATTAGTATGATCTAATTGTGTATTTAAATTTAACAGCTGACAGATATTCTACCTTATTCATTTGTGAGACAGTCTAACAGAAGCATGGACAAAACCAGTGAAATATCAACTGATTTAATAACTCTCGGAGTTCTTGCCATATTTTATTACCATTCTCTAAACTATAGCGAATAAACTGTTATAATGTGAGAAATAATGAAGGTGTCTGAATAAATTATAAATTTTGGTTTGACTGTGTGTAACACTATATATATATATATATATATATATACAGTAGTGTGTGCGTAACACTATATATATGCTATGCAGTTCAATATGGTATAGATAGTGAACTTTTATTTCTTTTATTCAGACATACAGCAAATCATAAAAGTAGCTCAAGTGCCATCTGACTTTTAACGCATGGTTCTTTCATATTTTTTTACAAAACCAAAAAGTTTAATGAAAGCAGGTGCTGTTTTAACATAAACAATATACATAAATAAAATTAAAAAAAACTTTCACAAAAAGTTCTATTGTACTCGTCTTTACTATGACTTAACGTGGAAATTTTCGTTCGGCGTGAACGCAGCAGTTACATAATAAGATTGGTCACTTTCTAAATAGTAAAAGTATTGGGCATCTACTAATAATTACATATGATTCAATCTTTTTTTTACCGATGCAGATGTTAGAAACGATGCATCGCGATACAAATGCCAACTTGTATCCGATGCACACTTATTTAAATCGATGCATCGTTAGCTTTTATGCCGAGGCACCGATGCGAATTGGTGAATCTTACTGTCCCTAATAATTACATTAAGAATTCAATCAGTACCGAAATGTATCGATATATATTTTAATATAATTGTAAAAAGGTCTGTGTAATTTTGAGTATCCGACAATATGCTTTAGAAGGCAGTTGACAGTTTCCGGTCTTTTCAGACAGTATCTCGGTTTTGTTTCCTTCTGCAGGTAAAGAAGTAGTAAATCCTGTGAAATAGTCTCAACGAACACTGGTTAAAGCTTTGCACTGAGAAAGGCCCAGCACTTCTTTCTGGTTCTGTCTGTGAAGCCCTTCCAGACTCCAATGCTTCTGGACTGTCGAGTTGCAGTGAATCTGAATCATGTCTTCAAGTCCAGATTCCACATATGCAGCGGTTGAGATCTTCCCCTGTCCAAATCCGCAAAGGGCACACGGCTTATTGTGGCATCCGTCTGGTACATATTACAGAAATGTAATGAATCTTTTGGGATGTATTTAAGTATGTGATGCAGGTCTTGTCGAATGTTTGAAAAGACTTGTGGGTGACTAAAGTTTTCTGTTTGAGTGTTTCTGTGTTTGTTTGTCTAGGACTAAAATGTCTACTGTAATCAGACTTGTTTTCTAAATCAGCCTCTGTGAGGAACTAACCGTGCAATACATTTCACTTTTTTTTTTCTCTCTTAAACTTGAACTGACCAATCACAACTACTGTTCTACTCACAATGCACACAGCTGTCTTCATTTCCTGTTGATAGTCTATCACATACTGTATGTATAGATAAGACACTTAAGCCTTCGGAGCACATTCATAAACATTTTGTCCTGTGAGAAGAAAGCACTAAATTCTCTTTATACATACAATATATATATATAAATATACACTAGCACGCTTTTTAAATATTTTTTTATTCTTAAAGCCAGCAGAGGATAGTCTGTCAAATCTGCTTCTGGATTTAAAGTGTTCAACTTAATTTTCCTCAGTGTGAATGAGTTTTTTTGTTGTCTAAGATGAAATGAATTGTAATACTAATTGATTTATGCGACTAAGGGGGTGTGTTCCCTTTCCGCCTGGGATGCATGAGGGATAATCTTTAATGCAAATCATTAATAAAGATTTATTTATTTTGTACGTACACTTGCCGAGTCATAATTTTGTTTGGGTTGTTTCAGATGGTGTTTGTGTTTTTGAATGGTTTTTACTGAAAATAGTGTAAAAAAAAAAAAGACTGAATGTTCTTGATTACCACATAATTAAATGCGTATTAATATTGTCTTTGTAGAATTACATCAAAACCATTAAATCTTTTGAAGGAGATGTGAAAGGATGCCAGAAAGGGGCTGTGTGCATAATAGAAAACTCCTCTAATTCATCTAATAACACTTAAGTTCGTATAGAAGAGTTCACATAAGCATTTTAATAAAAGTATGAGCTGCACATTTCTGTTTTGAACGCATTTGTATGTCTCGCCTCGTAAACTTATGAATGGTAGAATTACAGTGCTTACTGTTTTACGCTATTATGCTTTCCTATTTGGTTTATTACTGAGTTTGAAATTAAATTTACTAATGAATTGTGCCATCAATAGTTAATCAGTCTTCTTAATTAATTGCATTTATTCACTGCAAGTTTTTAATCTTTTATTATTTTTGCAATTTATTTTATAGTGTATTTAGGATCTGAATATCTTGCCCATGCCAAGAATCCATGGGCGAAAATGCCTTGTTGATGATAAAGGTCAGAGGAGAATGGGCCGACTGATTCAAGCTGATAGAAGAGCAACTTTGACTGAAATAACCTCTTGTTACAATCGAGGTATGCAGCAAAGCATTTGTGAAGCCACAACACGCACAACCTTGAGGCGGATGGGCTACAACAGCAGAAGACCCCACCGGGTACCACTCATCTCCACTACAAATAGGAAAAAGAGGCTACAATTTGCAAGAGCTCACCAAAATTGGACAGTTGAAGACTGGAAAAATATTGCCTGGTCTGATGAGTCTCGATTTCTGTTGAGACATTCGGATGGTAGAGTCAGAATTTGGCGTAAACAGAATGAGAACATGGATCCTTCATGCCTTGTTACCACTGTGCAGGCTGGTGGTGGTGGTGTAATGGTGGGGGGATGTTTTCTTGGCACACTTTAGGCCTCTTAGTGCCAATTGGGCATCATTTAAATGCCACTGCCTACCTGAGCATTGTTTCTGACCATGTCCATCCCTTAATCTCCATCAACTGCAAGATGCTATCCTATTAATATGGGCCAATATTTCTAAAGAATGCTTTTAGCACCTTGTTGAATCAATGCCATGTAGAATTAAGGCAGTTCTGAAGGTGAAAGGAGGTCAAACAGTATTAGTATGGTGTTCCAGCCCGTTCTCATCCTTTAACATCATATAGAACGCTATATGCAAAAACGGCGCTGTACTACGCACATGGCACCCTTTATCGTTAATATAACACGCGAACCCAAGACGTTATAAATCCTTTAGCGTGAATATGACACGCACACCCTACCCCACACCTAAACTTAGCCCTCACAGCACATGTTATATTAACGATAACGGGTGCCATGTGCGTAGTATAGCGGCGTTTTGTCATATAGCGTTCTATATGATGTTAAAGGATGAGAATGCGTTGGGTGTTCCTTATAATCCTTTACGTGAGTGTGTGTGTGTGTATACATAGACGTACATATAAACACAAACTTTTACGTTAGATGGTACATTTGTTGGTGTTTAACCAGAAAAAAATGGTGTACATGATACAATCTGGCAATAAAAAAAAAAAAAATATATATATATATATATATATATATATATATATAAAATGCATAACCATTCAAAAGTTTGAGATTGCCAAGATCTTTCATTTTTTGTAAAAGAAGTGTCTTTTGCTCACCAAAGGTGCATTTTCAATACAGTAAAACAATAATATATTCAGAAATATTATTACAAACTAATATAGTAAACAAATAACTCAATTTAAATATATTTGAAAGTGATGTGATGCAAAGCTGAAATTTCAGCATCACGACTCCTTTCTACAGTGTCACATGATCCTTCTAAAAATTTCCAAAAATTCGTTCTAATATGCTGATTTGAAACATTTCTTATTATTATACATTTTGAAAAACATTTTTCCCCACGTGGATTCTCTGGTGAATAGAGTTCAAAAGAACAGAATGTATATTAAAGGTTATAATTGTCTTTCCGTTCACGTTTGATCAATTTAATGCATCCTTGATGTATAAAAGTAATAATTTCCTTTTAAAAAAAGATGAGTTCCAAGATGAGAGAGAGAGAGAGAGAGAGCCTTTTCAATGGAATGTTTGAAAGGGGTTTGAATATGAAACCTTTTTATGTGTTCCAAATATTAAGCACCTGATAAAACCTTCATTGTGCTTGATCTGATACAGGCCCACATCATTTCAGCTGATCTGAAAAGTAGTTTCGTTCCCGATCGTGCTTGTCCTTTTTAATGCGGGCAACAATGTTAATAGCAGACTCCTACTGCTGTGTTTAGCCAAGTATGACGATGAAAATACCTGTGGGTCAGAAAATTATTTTGATACATAACTCAATCCGGCCCACTGTTACCATGGAAACATGTCTCTGAGATAGTAGGTTGGCGGGAGAGTGAGTTTGATACTGTGGGCACGCTAGAAATGATTCAGAGGGTGGCCATTAACATAAAAAGGCTACATTAGACCTGCGGGATACTGATATAACAGAAATGTGTTGAATAACTCGACAATCGAGTGGGATTTTCATTTTGAACTGTTTGAGCAGCTCCCCTGTGTTCAGTCAACAGGATAAAGGTGTTTTTTGTTTCTAACTTTATTACAGCTGCTATTGGATTTCAGTCGCCGCCACGTCTAATAGAGGGTGCAGAATGTTTCCCGACCTTACAATCCCACTTTTCTTTCTCACCCTGCCTCTTACTTAAGGAAAACCACCAGTGAGCACAAGGGCATGGTTGTACTTTTGTCCTTGTGTGTTCTTGAACACACAAATGGACTTTTGGACAGGACAGTCTGGTACTGGTACTCTTTGCGTTTTCATCAAACCTCAGTGCACGACAGCTTGTGTGACTGCTGTTTAGATTAATTGCACTCGCTGTGTAATAAACGCATATCTGTTAAAGCTTACGCAACGGTCTGTCAGACGCACTGGGACGTGGGTAATAAACAGGGCCTGTTTTGTACCTTCTCCACTCGTTGACGTAGATTAAGCTCTAGTAATTTCCTCCCTGATATTACCTGCTCCTTGTGCGCAATCAGGGTCATAAGGTCAGGCCTCAACCTGTAAATGGGCGGCAGTGATGACAGGGTGTAAACATGCAGGTCAGGTGGTGTAGTTCTGTTTGTTTCTGAGGTGAACAGGTTGAACTGGTGTAAGTTTGTTTATTCAGGCTTCCTATACTCACTCTTTTTAGACTCCTGAATAGAATACATCAATTGAATCTAGTCTAATGAGTGGGAAAAAATAGAAATGGCTTGTTTCGCAACAAGCTTCGGCTCTCTTGTTTTTATGGAAGAGTTAAAAATCAAAGAATAAATGATCAATTTATTATAATTTTGAAAGAACTTTTGACAGAAGTCTCTTATGCTCACAAAGACTGCGTTTGATTTAAGGGATAGTTCACTTTGCAATGAACTTCTGATATGTTTTAGCTTACCTCAAGGGCATCCAAGATGTAGATGTCTTTGTTTCCACAGTATTTTCAATTTAGATATTTTTAGATCAAACCGTTCTTGTCAGTCATATAATGGAGGTAAATGGGGTCCACCTCGAAGAGCATGCACAGAGAAGTCCAAATTAAACATTTAATGACTCGTAAATGTAAGTACACATTGATGGCCTAAGACACAAAACGAGCGGTTTGTGTGAGAAAACGAACAGTATTTATGTCGTTTTTACCTCTTGTAACCACAGTCAAGTCCAACTGATCTGAAGGCATGGGCGCTTCGGTCGATATATCTAAATCGATCTTCACATTGAAAGGTAAAACTTCCGAAATCTCTGTGTAATGGACAGCATTATCCATTCACCCATTCTGTAAACCGCACGTACTCTGTTGGGTCTCAGGGATGCCCTTTACAATATGTGTGTGTAGTAAAATTGAACCAACTGTTCATTTCATTTTCATTCATATTAGTTGTTGTTTCCAGAAATACCTCCATTTTGCCCGTTCAAGTTGTGTTTTAGACAGGCCACAGACTAATGACCTATTTCAAAGCAGGCAGGTGGATCAATACCAGTTATCTCACTGGCAGATGTCCAGCAGCCCGAGCAAACAGCACAGGTGGCGTCTGTCCTATAGCTTTAGGATCGATACGTGGTCACAATTTGAATCATTGCCCCTAATATTGCCCCTGTTTTTACTTTCATTATCCAAAAACAAACAAATAACATTTTAAGTGTGTTTGAGTATGTGTGTATTTTACAAGGAAGCATTGTTTTATTATTATTTAACATTTTCATTCCAATTATCTTTTATTTTTATATTTTCATTTTAAACTTAGTTCTAATTTTAGTAAATTACTAAAACTTGAACTAAGTTTAAAATGAAAATATATAGTAATAGGATAGTAATTATGTGACTTTGTTTATTTTTATTACTCCAAAAAATGTTTAATATTTTTTGTTAAGAATTTTTGTTAATAATAATTAATTAAAAATGAATTAAAATTTATAAATATATATTTAATTTGTTTTTATTTTATTAATTAATTAATTTATTTTTTGTTTGATCAAGTTACTAAACTTATTTGAGAAACTTATTTCTCAATAACCAACTTTTATTTTATTTCAGTGAGTTGCCATGGCAAGAATTTCATATTTTAATATTTATATTTTATGTCATATTTACTTGTGAACAAAAACAATTTAGTTTTGGTTAGCAATAACAACACTGTTACATGGTTGCCAGGGTTATTGAAAACCTGGAAATACCAAGGAATTTTCTAATCATGCTCAACTTTAAAATATTAATATCTAAAACTACATTTTAGCATTTTCTTAGTTTTTTTTTACATGTGCGAAACTCAATGGCACAAAGCTCTCTATTCTATTATATTACGTGTTGTTGTTGTTCTTCTTCTAAAGGATGGCTAAATATAAAATACATATATCAGCTAGCTATTGTGAGCGCTATAAATCAGTCACAGACGCCTGGAAAATTCATGGAAAACCTTTGGATCAAAATTTATGGGAATCTTCATTTTGTATTTTAAAACGTTACTTCACAAAAACATTCTTCACTTTTGTCTCAAACCCTTGATTTAAACCCTGCACCCACTCTGCCTAAAAATAAAATGGCAGGTTTAGCAGGGCAGTGATTCATTCCCACCTCCCAAGAATTCCTGAATAATTAAAAATCCATAAATGAAGTGCCAGTGTGATCGAGCGTGTTATACATTATAAAGAACATTCTCTTGTCTCACGGTTTACCCGTGTCCATGCAGAGAAATCCGGCCATGTGATGCGAAAACTGCCGACAGCATCCTGAATCAGGATCATAAATAATGTAGGAGCATCAGCAGGTCCCGGTGGGGGCTTATATTGCATTGCTTTGCTCTGAGTCTTGCTAATGATAGTGAGAGAGCGCGCGAGAGAAAGCAAAGCAGAGAGAGATCTGAGCGTGTCCCAGAGCAGTCGGAAAACTCACACTGAGAAAGACCTGCAGCCAATCCTCGCTTCTGTGTGGTTTATGGGACACAGGACCAAAGCGAAGTGAGTGGGACAACATGGATGTGGGAAGGACAGACTGACTGTTTGTTCTGCTGTTTGTCTCTGAGGCTTATCCCCTCTCTCTCTCTCTCTCTCTCTCTCTCTCTCTCTCTCTCTCTCTCTCTCTCTCTCTCTCTCTCTCTCTCTCTCTCTCTCTCTCTCTCTCTCTAAAGGAAGGCGGGCCGTACAGGAGAGAGAGAAAACACAGTGACTGATAAGTAGGGTCCAGTTTGTCTCCATCTCTCTCTCCGTCAGCTCTCTCTTTCAGCATGGAGCCCAACAGCCCCAAGAAAATTCAGTTTGCCGTTCCACTCTTCCAGAGCCAGTTGGATCCCCAGGCGGCCGAGCATGTAAGTAGAGAGAGGCTCTTTATTTTTGCATTAATGGAGACTTTGGCCTAATGGAACCTCTTTGGCTCCCTTGAGACGGTCTCGAAGCATCAGATCTCTGCAGATTAATGTCAAAATCAGTTTTATGATATGATGTCATGCATTGTGGGATTGTAGTGCTTGGTAAATATATGTCATTTTTTTAAAAGCACAGAACGGTAATTCGTCAAACATATAGTGTTTTGAATGTGCATGCACTTTAGTGTGAGGATTAGTGCAAATTGCAATACTTTTTGCTTCTTAAAAAATGACAACGGTAATGCAATGAGTGTGTATTTGGTGCTAAAGGGAAAATGTGCATCATAAAACAATTGTTTAATTGTGGTTGCATGCAGCAGACTAGATGTTTGTTGTGTTCCAGCTAGTAGAGCTGTTCATTGATGGATCTAGATCCAGCGGAGAGGCTGCATGCCTGGCAGTAAAAGTGTTTGATGTTGGCGCTGTTGCTGACAGTGTGACAACAGGAAAGTGCTGGGCTGATTTTATGATGATGCTGGTATGTCCAATCAGTGGCACGTTCTCTTGTGCTGAGTAAGTTCTCCATCAGTAAAGGTGGCATTCGCTCTTTCTTCATGGATACTTTTTTTCAGGCTAGTAGTAGGTCAGATTTTTCAGTAAAATAAAATTTGACTCAAAATTTGATATAAGCCTTGTGACAATTAGCTTTGGTCTCTCCTATATTTACATTTATTCATTTAGCTGACGCTTTTTTCCAAAGCGACTCACAATTGCTATGTATGTCAGAGGTCGCACACCTCTGGAGCAACTAGGGGTTAAAGGGATAGTTTGACCATTTTCAAATCCATTCAGCGGATTTTCTGATATTTAGAAGAATATCAGTAACCAGACGGTTTCTGGTCCCATTGACTTCCATAGTAGGAAAAAAATATATATATACGGTAACACTTTACAATAAGGTTAATTAGTTAACATTAGTTAACTACATTAGTTAACATGTACTAAGAATGAACAATACTTCTTCAGCATTTTTTAATCTTAATTCCAACATTTACTAATACGTCATTAAAATCAAAGGTTGTATTAGTTAACATTAGTTAATGCACTGTGAACTAACATGAACGCACAATGAACAGCTGTATTTATATTAAGTAACATTAACAAAGATTAAAAAACACTGTAACTAATGCATTGCTCATCGTTAGTTCATGTTAGTTAATGCATTTAATAATGTTAACTAATGAACCTTGTTGTAAAGTGTTACCAAATATACTATGGAAGTCAATGAGACCAGAAATTGTCTGGTTACCGATATTCTTCTAAATATCAAAAATCATCTGAATACATTCGAAAATGGTAAAAACCCAACTGTTTAACTCTGGGGGAGTGGTAAAATGAGCCTATTTCCAAAAAAAGTGGAGTATCCCTTTAAGTGTCTTGCTCAGGGACACATTGGTGCCTCACAGTGGATTCGAACCCGGGTCTCTCACACCAAAGGCATGTGTCTTATCCACTGCACCATCACCACCATACCAAAAATCAACACATGCTGGATAAACATTTGGCTAGCTTATTGGCTTTTTCTGGAAACTGACCAGTTTTGATTTGCTCTATCTGCATCCGAGACGCTTGGAATAGTCGTTTTCAACAAGCTATTTACCAAACTAAAAAACATTACCTTAGTGACACCACCAGCATTCAAAACATTCAGTAAGACCATGAGAAACTCAGTGAGTTGGCTTGGGATTGATTACAGATGTACATGATCAACCAACCCGATCTCACGGGAATCCGTACGAATTTTACGAGGTGGCTAATTCGTAACAATTCGTACGACCTCACTCGTACGAATTAGTGCGATTTTGCTAAATCGTACATATTTTCCGAAATAGCCATTTCGTATGAATTAGTACGAATGACCTACCCCTGACCCCGCCCCTAAACATAACCGTCACGTGGGTTTAGACAAATCGTACGAGTGAGGTCGTATGAATTAGTACGAATTAGCCACTTTTGAATCACTCGTACGAATTCGTACGAATTGGTCGTGAGATAGCGTAAGATCAACAAACGTTGATGTTGTGAGAACGCAGTACTGGCCCGATAGTTCAAGTGACAGCTCCTGAATCTCTTTCACACTCTGGGTCATTCTTATTGTTTATCAAACTGACTCTGATGTTTAGGTATATTAAACACGTGGATGGAGGACGACGTTGTTGAGTGTGAGCTCGTGCTGTTTCACATGTGTTAAGACAGCATGTTGTGAGGCTAAATGTGATCTAAACCCAGCAGCCTTCCTCAGGGAATTGATTATATTGACCCAGTGAATCACCCAACAAATGCTGGTGTCCGGACACATGGGGTAAATCAGTCAGCATGAACATTTTACGCCCATGTTCCATCTGTTATTGTCAGCTAACACTTACAAAACTACTAAAACTATCATGGAATACTACAAGTAGAGTAGATAGAGATCTAAATCCCATTTGGATGAGCCATGTTCAAAGTTGTCGTATAACTTGGATCACAGAAAGAAAGAAAAAACTCTCGGAAAACTGGAGAGATCATTAGAGAAATCATTCCTTCATTTGTTATTCATCAAGCTTTTCACCATGTCTGGACTCTCAATGTCATATCTTAATCATATTGATGCTTTTTTAAGTAACATTTTGAGGTACCCTACATGTGAAATGAACAATATAATCGGAAGAATTGCTCTTTATGTGCTCTGCTTAAATGTGATTTGTGTTTTGGACCAGCTTAAACCAACTAAGATCAGAAAACCAGTTTAGGCTTAGGTTTTTTTTTCACCTAATAATGTTAAACTAAAAATCCACTCAGTGCTGTGTATCACAGTGATTTGCATGGTTAAAGGGGTTTTATTCACTCTGCTCCATGTCAGGCCTAAGAATCCCTATAGTTCCTACACTTTATTGAATAACAATATTATTATAGAATTTATTTCTTTCTCTCTTCAGATTCGCAAACGGAGACCAACTCCAGCCACATTGGTCATCTACAATGATCCCAGTGCATCAGGTAAGAGCCTTAAACCATTAAACATGTAGCATGCTTGTTTATATTCACTGAAAGAGCTGGTTCAACCTATGGGCTGTTGGGTTGTAGCAAACAAAGCCCTATTGAACTGCTATTTGAAGTCCTTGTGTAACCTAAATGCATCTAAATCAAGACAAGAATCTACAGTGAACGGTCTGTCTCTCATTAAGCAGAACCTTTAGGGTAAAGTTCCAGGTATTCACTCATTGTACAGATCTCAATACGTATGTTTTGGTTATTTAGCATCCCTAATTCATTAGGGTTAGAACTCATGACTGCTCTTTTCAAAAACAAACCAGAGTTTGTGTATATTTGAGCATCATTTGGTGGTGTTTTTCAAGGTTTGGTTGCTGTAAGGGTTCAGCTGTGGAGTATTCCTTTTGAATTGCTGCCTTTGTTTACATAAAGCCGTGGGTTTCTGTATTGTTATGAAAAAAGGCCCTCTCCAATTCTCATGTACAATCATTATATGATATTGCGGGAGGAAATGTGCTCTTCTGGTTTAAAGGACAACATGATAGGTCTGGCGAGGTCATTTCACGTCGGAGCGTCTGTAATCTAGCCTTGGGTCGGGACAGGACAACACGCTGAGAATGTGGCAATGGTCAACAGGCTGCTATCAGCACAAACAACCCACCTATGGCGTCAGCGTATGTGAGCGGCCAGTCTGTGTAGACCGTTGAGCCGTAGCTCCGTTGTCTTTTTCAAGAGTTGTCTCTTCTGGGTGAACTTTCAGTTTAACCTCAATGTAGAGTGATAGGGCTTTTCTATAAGAGGAATTCAGGGTTGTTTGGGAAATGGATGGGATGTATTTGGCTGAGATTCAATTATACCTACACTTAGTATGTGCTTCTGCAAATGACCCTTTAGAAGCCCGTTTTCACCATTAAAAAGGGAATTGTGATTTCATATCCCATCCTGGTGATTTTACGTCTCGCAATGTACTAGTTGACAATGTGATGTAATATCTACCAATTTACTTAAAATATACCATTTACTCCCCAGTTTCACAGACCTAAGTCTACACTGTAAAAATGAATATACTTTATCTAATCAATAGAATTGTGGCAACAGATTACAAGTAATATTATTAATTAAATGTAACAAATTAGCATTGAGTACTAATGATTCCTTAAGTTAACCATTTAAAATGAGTAAAGTTTACAAATTAATTGTAAGATTAATTGAGAACTCTTTATTTTATATTGCCAACATTGAAGTCACCTGATGTTAACAAGTAGAATCACTGAAGGAGAAAACTGAAATGTTAAAACAAACACTGATCACCATAATGGTGACTTCAATTTATGTGTTTTGGGTTGTTGTTGTATGTTTTACTCATTTTAAATGGTTAACTTTAAGGAATTGATTAATTGTTACTCAATTCTAATTGTTACATTTAATTAATAATATTGCTTGTAATCTGTTGCCACATTTTTTTTATTAGATAAAACATATTTACAGTGTAGTCCCAGACTAAAATGCATGTTTGAGCTGTTTTGGCAGAAAGAATCTTGCATTGACGTATCAGTGCCATTGTTTTGTCCCAAGATGCACACCAGTAATGTTTTTTTTTTTTTTTTCTTAGGCACATTTACAAAAGCTACTTAAATGCCCTGAATGAACTAAGGTTTAATCCTAGCTTAGTGTAAGCACTGTCTGTCTTAGTGTAAGCCTGTCTTCTCACAATGTGACTTTATATCTTCAATTTTATGTCTTACAATATGACAATATCTCTTAATACGACTTTATTATCTCCAAATGTGATGCTATGCCCCAATGTGACGTTAAATCTCAAAATGGGACTTAATATCTACCATTTGTGACTTTATTTCTCAGTGTTGTTATATCTCACAATTATGACTTTAAATCTTACAATGTGATCTAAAATCTTTCAAGGTGACTTTATATCTCACAATGTGACCTTGAATCTCACAAGGTCACTTTGTCTTGTAATCTAACCTTAAATCTCACAATGTGACATATCCACCATTATACTTTGACTTTATATCCCCCATGATTGACTTTATATCCCACAATATGACTTCATATCTTCAAATGGGATTTTATATGTCCCAGTGTGTCTTGTTATCTCACAATATGGCTTTAAATCTCACAATGTGACTCAGTATCCACCAACTGTGCGTTTTTATCTCATAATTGTATCTCACAAACTCAAGCATTTTCAAGAATTTGGAAAACAATTGCAACTTATTTCTCTTGATTGCAAGTTTTAAATCACAATTGCAAATTTCGATCTTACTGTGTAACATTTTATCTCACTTCATTTCAACAATTTAAATTCACAATAACCTTTTGTAATGTTTTGCTTCAATAGGTAACCCACTGGTTCCTCAAGACTTGCATGAAACAGTCATAGTCTTTACTAGAGGACTTTTGCCATCAAACTTGCATTATGCTGACAAATTTCATATGTTTTCCACAACAAAGTTTTCCACTTGAGGGAAATACCAACACACTAGCGTCATCTGTAAACATGGTAACCTCGACCCTAATCCCACTCAACAGCCCACATGAGAAAGCGAAGCAGGTTTTTTTGGCACTGTAAATGTAGAGAAATCATTCCAGAATCCAAACAAATGTTGCCTTCGAGTCATGCCTGAACGATCATGTTCACGATTGGAGCCCCACAATGTTTTTACTTGGGGAAAATAAAGAGTGATAGCTAATTGGTATTGTTCATAATTAAGTTTTAATTGTAAGACTGTATAATTTGCACTGTTTACATTTTGATAAACAGTAATAAAGCTTGACAGAAAGCACATTTAGCCATGTTTATGAGGCGCCAGGCTTGTGAGACAAAACGTCCCATATTTCTCTGTGGCTCCATGAAAATGATAAAATACACAGATAAATCATCATTTCTACACCTAATGCACATCCTTTGTTCTCCAGTGTTGCATTAGCACTAAAAAAGCTTCCTGTTTTTGTCAAGTGAAAAGAGAGAAAGAAATATGAAATTGCGCAATGCCTCCGATTTATTCGGGCCGAAAATCTATACACATCACATCGTAATTATGAGTTCCAAGCTTATAAGTCAGAAGCACTTGAAGACAGAAAATAATTTACAGAAGCATCACATTATGACGGAATATTTTGAGTTCTCAGGATATGAGATCAGACATGAGTGATTGTTGAGAACTGCAAAACAAGCTACAGAACAGATGAAAAAAACAAACAGTTTATCAGTTCAAAAAGTTTCAAATGATTCTGTCCTGCTTCACACTTTCTAACCAAATTAGTGATTTTACTGATAAATAATGGTTAATTTAGGATTCACTTAATTGAATGAATAAATTGAGATAATGGTTTCAAACTGATTTTCAGCTCTATAAATAAATTAATAAATTGTCACCACAGGCAGAGATAAAATCATATTTTTGCATTTTTTTTGCATATTTTTTTGCATATCACAAATGTATTAAATCCAGCTTATGATTGGTCCAACTAAAAAAAAAAAAAAAAAAATCCCAAACAGCTTTTTTACAATGTTAGTTGATATGTTGATATGATTAGGACAGAAAATGCACACTTACCTCAAATGAAATATATAAATGTCTGTTCGATGTTGTTTGAAATCATTGCCAGTAAAATATGGAAAGATGATCTTTCATCTTCCCTGATTTTGTTTTATTTTTAAATAAATATCTGGTATTGTTTACAAAAGGTAAAAATTTTAAATCTTTTTTTTTTTTTTTAATATTAATCAATTCCTTTTGTCAGAACAGTGTTTTTCCAAAAAAATAATTGTATTTTTTTTAATATTTACATTAAATTATGTTACTACATCTTTTTTAATATGAATAAAGTGTTGATTTGAGGCCATTTTAGGTGTGGTGAGTGATAATTGTTATAATTTTGATCAAATAAACAGTAAATAAAATTGTGTGTGTGTGCGTGCCATGTGTGCAAGAACGCTGTAGTGCTAGTATCTGTTTTAGAACTAATGGCAGGTGAAGCCGTGACTTGTTTTGTTTTGTGTCTCAAGAATCAGTGATGTATTCAAACATCCAGCATCTTCATAAATGAATAGCAATGATCCGCCTCATCCGAGTGCCGTGGACTCTTGGCTGGAAACTCACAGAGATCATATGTGCCCATACTCTTGTGTTTGACTTGGCAGAGTCGACTGGTTTTCATGATGAAGCTAAACCAAACCCTCCCGCCGGAGCCAGTATAGCCATCTGCCAGTTCTGCTCGAGAAGAAGGCCTTTTTATGAGCTCACGAGCTTCCCTTCGCTCGCCAGGTCTTACTCAACAGAGATGACATGCTCTCCAACAAAGCCATTCAAACCTGACAAATGACTGGGAAACGCTGTTAATTTCAGAGCTGTTTATTTTCCCCTGATTGATGCAGATTTATTACTGGGTGGTTGTTGTGGAGTTGCGGTTGTGATTTTGGATGTAGATCGCAGGGGCGTGTAGAGGAGGTGGGACACACAGAGCTGCATTCACAAAACAAGCACCTCTTTGTTTGGCTGGCATTTCTTCCTCTGATCCAAAACACTTGGAGTCGGTCCCGAATAAAGAACGTTTTTGAAGCTTTAAGAACTTGCGTCACACGAGCGCCGCTTGTCATAAACTGGGCAACGTGTAACTGCGAGCCGAAGATGAAGTCGAAGAGTGGCTTGTCTTGTTATTGCGGTTAGAGTGGTAATTTGGTGCAGGAAAACCTGTGCCTGTGGCACGGACGTTTTGTACGATTCGTCTTTTTAACTAGGTCCTCATGTGTGGAGCCACTGGGCCCATGAAAGAAGAAAGCTCTTCTGGCTACTGTGGCTCACTGTGTTCCTCTGGTTCTACTTAACATCAGGTCTGAAGTCATAATCCAGCGTTTGCTCAGGCTTCATTTATGGGCTTAAGTGGCTATTAGGTCAGGAAATAAAGATGTTCAGTGGCTTTAAGAGAATTCAGGGGCTTTTAAAGTCTACTTTCCCCCTTAAACAAGTGAAACGTCATACACTGCATACACTCCTCACAGTATAATAGCTTTCATTGTATGATTGCATGAAAACAGACTATTCACAACAAATTAGTGTTGAAAACATAGTGGCCCACAAAACATATCATATGTTTGGCATTAACAAAAATGATTTTGTCGGAATTAATTTCACTTTTTGCAAAGTTTTGCAATTATTTTTAATCACATGGTAAATCAGGTTGATCAAACAATATTTTTATTGTTTTGACTGCTAAAAAGTGATATTTCTTCAATATTAATGCAACTTTGGTGTTTTAAATCTAATAGCATTTGTGTTATAAATGTCATTCATTTTTAAATGTGACTTCTTCAAATGATTGTTTTTATTTTAATTAATATTTTTATTCAGTATGATACAGTAATGTTAAAAGATTTCTTTTTAACACAAATGCTATTTATCAAAGCATCAATCACAGTTTCCAGCAGCACAACTGTTTTCAACATAAAAATAAATGTTTCTTGAGCTCCATATCAGCATATTAGACTGATTTCTGAAGTATCACATGAGACTCACAAAATTCAGCTTTGCCATCATATAAATTGCATTTTAAAATATGTTAAAATTATTTTTTAAATTGTATTAATCTATTTTTATTGTATTTTTGATCAAATGAATTAAGCTTCGGTGAGCATAAAATACTTTTTTTCAAAAACATTGCAAATATATGTAATATTATACGAGGATGTTTTCATCTGAGCACTCTTTTTGTGTGCAATAATATGTGTGAACAAAATGAGAAGGAATAATTTGACGTTTTTGGTTCATTGAAGCTGCAGCAATAACAACCTTCCAGTGAATATCAGATTGCGAATGTTCCAGATCCTCACTGCATATGCAAATTATGAAAGGTTTATAAGAACACTCCAGTTTTTATAAAATCATTCGAAGCCCAGAGACCACTAAAGAGTCAGTTTGTTTCCTTAAGGCATACGCTTTGAGAGCATGCATGAAACTCTAAGTTGCCCTGAAAAAAATATGATGACCAGGATGACTAAATTGGTCTTTCAAGACCTGAAATTTTAACATCTGAAATAATGTATAAGCCCCGCTTAGTCAGGGAAAGAAATGGGTCGGCCTCATAAAAGCAGTTTGCATTAGGAAAAAGAAACTTGGGAGTGGAATCTAAAATCTAATTTTGCTAGTCACCTAACACATTCCATTCTTGGATCCATTAAGACATAATTGGTCTAAATTTGGCTTTACCCCTAATATCCTTTAACAGAATTCGGTTCTGTTAAAGGATATTAGGGGTACAGATTGTTTCCATCATGCAACATATTACATTGCAAATTCCCCCCAAAAAAACAAGTGAAATGAGGATAGTATGTTGTACTAACAAATGCTTTTTTAGTGTTGTGCACTTACTGTACACATGAGTTGAAGTAACTCAAAATGATTATTTTCAGCAACTAAATCATTTCCAGTGCAATTTACTACACTGTAAAAAAATATTTTCAAGATTTGTTATCACAACATTTTTTTATTTTGTCAAATCAACTTAAATAATTTATTTAGTTGAGAAAATTATTGATGATTAAAACAATCTCCTTCATTGTATTAAAGGAGCAATGTGTGATTTTTAGCGACATCTAGCGGTTCGGTTGCGAGTTTGCACCAGGTTTGCACTAAGGGCTCAGCCCACTGCTCACCCCTCCCTTTCGAAGAAGCTACGGTTGCTAAAACGGGACAAACATCTCGTCGGCTGAGACAGCAGAGAATAGCCAGAGTAAGCCAAGAGTGTGTAACATTGTCACTGTTTCTGTACCACAGTCCATTATAAACCACATCATGGATACTGTTTACAAAGCCATAGTCAGGTGAGGATCAAGGGTTTTAATATATAATTTAATATAATAATAGTAATCAGCTGATTGTCTCACAAACGTAACCAGCAGCACATTTCTCCCCACATAGCAAACCCATAATACAGCGAGGGAGCAGCTATATATTTTTTCTAAAAGGGTAGTAATAGTTTAGCTGGCTAATATGCGCTGTTGCTGTGGCTGAGCTGGGACGCGTCGGCATGAGTCCAAAGGTCGGAAGTGCGCGCTGCTGTTACAATCATGTCATTTTTGACGCGCACACCTCCGCATCCCATAGATACTATTTACTACACACAATAGGCTTTTTTCTCTGATTTTGAAAACTCTTCGCGATCGACTTTAGTGATCTAAAAGTCTCTATCGACGGCTTAGTGATTCCTGTAACGTACTGTTTTACGGTCAATGACATGAATACTAATCATCAGCTGTCTCACGAACGTAACAGCACATCTATTCCCACATAACAAACCCATAACACAGCAAGGGAGAACTAAGTTACATGAAACAATCCCAACTACATATTTTACACCACTCACAAGGGAAAAGTCACTACTCACGGAGTGTAAGGCTAGCTTCCAGCTTTCCGCTACTTCTCTTTCAAGGTAGTGATGAAACGCGTTCTGTAGCGCTGTTTGTTCGCGTTCGGCTACGGTAGGAATATGACGTCACAACATGGCGACCTTCATAGAAGGGGATTCCCGCGGTTATGGAGCTATTAATGTCTCATTCTAAGGTAATAAAAACATTACGGTTAATTAAGTAAGTTCTTTATACACCACTGAAAACATAGTTATGGATGTCATATTGAATTTCTGTTAATAGATACTCAACTTTTTTACACACTGCACCTTTAACTCACCTTTTCCAGTTCAATCAACTTAAAATTTTAAGGCAACCTGGTTACTTACTTTAAGTTAATCCAACAATATTTTTTCACAGTGTATGTGTGTTTCTCCCAACAACAATTTAAGTTGAACTAATTAATATAACATTTCCTGCAACTTGGCATTTCTCGGTTGTATTTACTTGAACAGCAATTGGATTTAGCATGCAAACCGATTGCCTTTTGCCTTTTTCAAGAACATGTTACTCTATAACTTAAGAGATTTAAACATAACAAATCAATAAAAAAAGTTCAATTAATCACATTTACAATTATACAGCTCAAAGTTAAATATGTTTTTTTTTATGGTTCTTCTATCTACACCAATTGACATTGCACATTTGCTATTATGATTTACACCAGCAATACAGTTTTAGCTTGTATTAGAACTATGTTTAAACAACGTATTCTCATCCTAGGGCGTCATTTAGTGACACTTTTGACATTGCGTCTAAATCCGACGCACATGGCACCCTTTAGCGTCAACATAACACGCTTCGGTTATGGGTAGGTTTAGGTCTGGGGTTATGTTAGGGTTAGACCACTAGGAGGCGCCTTCTGGCCCATATATATCTGCATCTCATATTGTGATTTTTCATATTGTGTCTCATACTTTGTGATTTCACCGAAACGAATTGAGAGTCTCCGCAACGGATTAAAGCGCACGTCCTTGTGAAGCCACAAGAGAACACTGTATCTGCGTCACTGATTGCAGGATCGAAGAGCACTTTGATCATTTGATTTCAAAAACAACATATTTCAGTGTGCTAGATCGCCTCTTATAACAAACAAGCGAAATGAATGCTCTTCTAGGTAACTAGAGATGTTTTATTTATTTGTATTAGTTACATCCGTGCCGCGAGATATTTCAAAAGTGGTGAGGAGGACAATATCAACCCTGGCAAAAAGTGGTGGGGACATGCACCCGTCCCACCCGCAAATTACACCTATGGATATAAGAACCTTTTTGGTGTCATTGAAGAAACTTTCAGTGAACAATTCTTAAAGGGATACTACACTTTTTTTGGAAATAGGCTCATTTTACAACTCCCCCAGAGTAAAACAGTTGAGTTTTACCGTTTTCGAATCCATTCAGCCGATCTTCTGATATTTAAAAGAATATCAGTAACCAAACAGCTTCTGGTCCCATTGACTTCCATAGTAGGAAAAAAATATACTATGGAAGTCAATGAGGCTGTCTGGTTACCGACATTCTTAAAAATATCAATAAATCGGCTGAATACATTAGAAAATGGTAAAACCCAACTGTTTAACTCTGGGGGAGTTGTAAAATGAGCCTATTTCCAAAAAAAGTGGAGTGTCCCTTTAAAAGAACGACAGTTTTCTGAGTGTAAAGAACGTTTTAATAATTTAAAGAACCTTTACATTAAAGGTTCCATGGATTTTAAAGGTTCTTCATGGAACCTTACAGTGTGCCAATATTTTTGATAATGTAGAATCTTTTTTTTCTCTCTCTTTGGAGCGCTGTTACTTTTTAGCTGCATTTTCTGAATCTATAAAGCACAGAAAACAGTAAGTCCCTCTGTTGATTTTTCCCCTCCAGGAGATGACAAGCAGACTACAGGAAATCAAACAGAGGTGAGTACTCTAAAGCAATAACAGAGAACCCAGCACTTAACACGAGCATTAGATCTGATCTTCCTCACTCACACACCGTATCAGACATCACACGCTATTCCTTTCCAGCCGTCTTAGTGGACGTGGTGGTATGTAAGCTAAGCCTCCGGGTGCTTCTCTGCACAGCTCTCTATGCTGAGATGCTTTCCTGCGAGATGGATGGAGTTCTGATGCAGTTGTCATTGATTTCCTGCTGGAGCAAAACTCCTGAAATAGAGTCTGTGTGAAATCAGATCCCCTCTCTCACGCTGTGCTTTTCCACTGTCCACGCCAGGCCCAGAGTGCCCAGCTGTCTCCAGCCCAGAGGAAACAGAGCGTCTACACGCCACCGACCATGAGAGGTACCATACACACCATCTGCATAATGTGACGTTTCAGGCTCTTACGCAACTATACACCATCTGAGTCATTCCTGTTATGCAGTACCTTTGGGGCTCTTAAAAAATGTATGTGCTCGTGTCAGAATTTATAAAGTTTTTATGAAGGGATTCACCAGACTTTTAGAAAAAAGGCCTTGACCAAACTCAAGACTTTTTAAATACTATTTATACAATAGCTAGAAAATGAATATGATGAACAAATGTCTCAGTGATGATAGTTGATGAGAGTTAGCTAAACTTATATTGTTCTACACTGTTAATAATATTGATATCATCATGTTCAAGTCAAACAAACCATTTCATATTTATAGTTATTTATAATATAAAAAATGTATTATAAATATCATTTGAATAATATTGTATAAGATGTATACAGTTCATAATATGCTAGGGTTATTATATTAATTGATACTAAATCTAATACTAAATCTGATTTTGTTGTTTTTTTATTGAATAATTTCTTTTTTTTTTTCTTAATAGTTCATTTTATTTCAGGTTATTGCAAAGGCAAACATTTCACATTTTGATTGAATTTAAATTAAATAATAATAAAATAATTTTAAGTAAAATTGAAATAAAAACAGAAAATATAAAAATAAAAACCATTCAAAATATGAATAAAAACTATTATATTATCTCAATTATAATGAAATAATCACTGTAGAAATGTACATATTTTTTATAATATTTGTAATATTGTTTCATTACTTTTAATATTCATCCTTATTATTTAATTATTTGTGCGTGCATGCATGTGGGTGTGCGTGTGTTTGTGTGTGTGTTTATATGATTTATGACACAAATTTGTATAATGACATGGGTATTACACTGTTATTACACTTTTTTGTGTTGTTGATTTCTCTCTAAAGGATGTCACTTCCTGAAGGATTATGTCATGTTTATTATTATTATTATTTTTTTTTTTTTTGTAGTTATAAGGATTTTACAAAAGATTAACAGGATGGAAAGTTATTCTGATGACTGGACACATGCAGGAAAAATCTATAAACTGATAGTCAATTAAAAATAACAACATCAGCTCCAAATTTAGAGAACATTGTGTAAAACTTACTTAATTATTAAGCAATTTCAATAATTAAAAAAAGACTATATTACTGCAATAATTCATCTGCATAGTAGGAATGCTCTGTCTATGCCATCTGTGTTTGATCCACAGTACACTTACTCACTCAGCCATGCCATCTTCTCCATTAACATTCACACTACACATATTTCACCGATGGGGGCAGTGATTTGCATCCAGTGACCCACACATGCAGCCCACTCAACAGACTACTCACACTGCTCGTGCTTATGGACCAGTCGCTAATATTAACACAGTTCCTCCGCTCTCAACCACATACACTCCCAGAGGTCTGACAGCATACTGAATATGCATCTAATTTGCAGCATGTGTTTTTTTTTTCTTTTCCAGCATGATTTGAGAATAATTCAGAGCACTTGAGCTTCAGTGGAAGCAATGTCATCTGAGTGTCACAATTTCACAAATGTAATGATTTGATTAATGGCCTAGAAATAGTGCAGTGTTTAAAATTTAAAAAGAACATATCCTTAATATTTTTAAAATATTTTTTAAATTCTATCCTAAATCCCAGATTTTAATGTGGTCTCAGACTTTTCAACTACAGTATACTACATAATGATATAAGAGAGTCAACAGCATTTGACATAGTTCTTTTTTAATAAAAAAAAAGCATTTTTCTCCATAAAATGTATCCTTTATAATCTTAATTCAAAAAGACTTTTGCACAGTTAACTACATCTAGATAACAGCTTTTCAGATTTAATGTTTGGGCATTTTTGAATCAAATAGCTGGAGATTCATTTTATGTTTGCTCTTTCCTTTTCTTTTCCTTTTATGGTAACCCTTTGCAATAAGGTCTCATTTGTTAACATTACATAATGCATTATTAGCTGAACTAACAGTGAACAATGTGTGATGAGAATGTTGAAGGGTTTAGTTCACCTAAAAATGAAATTACTGTCATTATTATTACTCACCCTGATGTTGTTCCAAACCCTTAAGACTTTCTTTCATCTTTAGAACACAACTGAAGATTTTTTTGATGAAATGTGAGAGCTTTCTGTTCCTCCATTGACAGCTACACAACTACTGCGTTGACTCTTCAAAAAGTTCAGAAAGAGATTGTAAAACTAATATGAATAGTGGTTTAGTCAAAAATTTCTGAAGAGACTCGATCTCTTTATAGACCATTTCACAAGATGTAAACAACACTGGTCCAGAAGCACTTCCTGTTTCAGTTTTTCAACACTACATAAAAGCTGGGATAAAATACAACCAACAGAACATTTAAAACTGATTTAAAAAGTTAAACAAACATCTTTAAGATGTTTTCTTTACATGTGAAATAAAGAAAACAGTTACAAACTGAAACAGGAAGTGTTTCTGGACCAGTGTTGTTTACATCTTGTGAAATGGTCTATATGATGAACTGATTGAATTAAATAATATTAAATATTAAATTAAATAATAAACATTCATCAATGCACACATCAGTTGTGGTAAGCCGAAGCTTGAGCATGTATGCTTAACGTGTGAGAACCAATGAGGTTCATTCTCCTGTTACGCAGCACGTTTGAGCTTCTGTAAGAACCAATGAGGTTTGTTCTCGCAAGTCGAGCAAGCTTCCGTTTATGTTCGCTGATCAACATTTATATGTCAATAAAAGCCTAAATTCAATCTGTTAATCATATGAAGCGATTGTGTCTGTTCAGAAAATGCGGTTCAAATTATTTTTTTGAAGCATCAAAGTTTCAGTTGCGCAGCTTTCAATCGAGGGACAGAAAGCTCTCAGATTTCATGAACAACAACAACAACAAAAATGACGTGACGGAGGAGTAATTCATGACAGAATTTTCATTTTTGGGTGAATTAAAACTTTAATGAATAAAAAATACTCTTGTTCATTGTTAGTTCATCTTAATTGCCCCTTATTTTTAAATGTTCCTAGTTGTGTTCTTCTACAAGCTCTCCAAGACCGAAAAACGCTTGAATTTCTAATAATATCCATTACCTGTTATCTCACAATATCTGAAAGGGTTTGATAAAGGATTCAGTCTTTCTCTGCTCTGATTGGTCAGATGGGCCAGTCTGTTGTGATTGGTCTACCGCTTACAGCCCATATCGGAAATGAAATGTCAATTCCTAATTTCCTATACCTGAATTTCAGCTCTGGATCTTTCTCAGCACTTACACACATTGATACGAACAATGACGATGACGTCGGTTTTACCGGTTTTACACGTCGGTTTTTACCGCATGCAAAGTGGATTTGCTTTCGCAGTGCAGAAAACAGTGTCTTCTTAACATGTTGATAACACGAAACACACTCTTCCAGGCCTCGGTTACATCTACAGTGTTTGAGGGCGAGTCAAAGTAGACATTGTTCACAGGCAGCCAATGAAGACCATAGACTGGTATTAGGCAAATTTGTGAAAGTAAGACTGTAATTGACTCATTTCAGGCAGTTTAGAATCCGTTCTTCCCTTTGGGAGACAATAACTTTATTTGTGATGCACTTAAACTTTGCAGACTTTTACATTCAGCTCTATTACACACTACATGAAAGTCAATTCTGAAAAAGCATAATAAGGGTGCTTTAAATAATGTACAGTAGTTAACTATTGTAAGCAAATGAATCCTTATTGTACAGTGATACTGACTTTATTTATGATTTATTTGTGGAGTTTATGCAGTATTTTAGTAGGCTAAGCCAACAACTTTAGAGATTGTGAGATGTCACTCCTTAAACTTTCCAGTGTGTGTGTAGCCACTTTTTCTCTTTTCTTGTGGGGTTTGCACTCCAGTGACAATGTGCCATCTTTCTTTTTCTCTTTTTATCAGTGTACATGCAATGTTATGAATGGAGTATTTATTTTTTTTAAAAATTTAATGTTACAGCTTTCTTTTTGTCCAGTTAATGGGGCGGTATAGAGCAGAAAATGACCCGAGCAGGATTCAAACTCACGTTGTCTGCATTTAAGTGCCACCATGCAACACGATGAAGCATGTGCATTGCCCGTCAAGCCACGTTTGTGACAAAGCAGAGGTTTTAGACAATGAGATGGGGGAGGGAGAGTTGTGAGGTCCGCCTCGCTGACTCATGGACTAGGCCATTTCCTGGCATGGACGTGCTAAATTCACATTAGCTTGAGCTATTGATTGGAGTGGAGGGGGGGATACATCATTCTAGAGAGATGGCCTCAAATGGACAGCCTGGCAGAGCAGTTTTGAATGAACACTCAGCATCCTTTGGGTCGGTGCAGGGCAGAAACAGCTAAAGCAATCTGATTTGCGGAGATGCCAAGCTTGTTCGCTCTGCTGGTGTGGGATAGTTGTGGTTCAGTGGTGTCAAAACCTCATTTGTGTGAGTAGGGATCTTCTAACTGTCCATTAGCCAGAGATTGTGAAAAGTTTTTAAAAGATTGCTTTGAATAGTGACAAAATCCATTTAAGTGGAGAGCTGAACTCCTTCCAGGGTAAAACTGCTGAGTGGATTGTACGTAGTGCTGACTTTTTAGTGGTCTTGATTGCAGAACTTAATTGCATTTTTTCCCATTTGTTTTCTAAATAGGGATTTCAAAATAGTCTTCAATTAACGTAGCCATGAATTAAACAAGCTCTGTAATTAATCATTACATCACAAACTTTAAAATTGAAGCAACAACAAAAAAAAAAATCATATTCAAAAAATGTCTTTTTAAAATCTAAAAATTCCAATCATTCCAATTGTGTTCTTTCCAGGTTTAAATTCCAATTTTGAATGAATATATATATATATATATATATATATATATATATAATTTATTATTTATTTTATTATTTATTATATATATATTTTAACTATATATAATGTAGTCGAATATATATATATTTATATATATTCATTCAAAATTGGAATTTAAATCTGGAAACTACATTATATATTTTTTTCAACTACATTTTTATATGTATATATATATATATATATATATATATATATATATATATATATATATATATATATATTAACTATATATAATGTAGTTGAATATATATATATATATATATATACATATAAAATGTAGTTGAAAAAAATATATAATGTACATTTAAAATAAAATTTTAATCGCCAAATTCATTTTGAGGAATGACATACTATTTGTATGTCATTCTTCAACAGGAAAAATGCAGTTGAAATCACATTGATTCTGCCTTCTGTGGAATTTTATTCACATTTAATTACTGAACAACTTCAAAGCTAATTGTACGTCTGTGTCAAGTGATATTTTTGTAATTGTTTAAATCTTAAGGTTAAATTAAATGGGATTTTTTCTGCTGTAACTCGACGGTTGCGCTCTATTATCTAGCCTGGTTCTTCTATTTAGTTAGTTTATTATTCAGGAATTTATTTTCTGTAGCTTGATTTTATTTTATATCTCTTTTTCAAGTTTTTGATTAGGGTAGATACTTAGGAAACATTGTTAAACCTTTTTTAACACTTTGGTAAATTATGTCATTGTCTTTCTGACAATGAGTATGTTGTATAACTGAGAACTGTAAGCGTTAGGCATCATCATCATGTCTGCAGATGAAACCTTCAGAAAGCTCTTAAGATGCTTTCAGACCTGCTTCATGAGAGCTATCAGCTTACAGTGCATTAGCTCTCTATTCTGATACGTCAATAAGAAATTAAGAAATACTGTGCTGGTGGTGATAAAAACTAGGCTGGGGGATATATTGAGATTGTATATGATTTTATTTTGCGTATTTGCATTGATTTTGCTGGTGATATAAAATGAGGCAGCATTGTGAATATCATGATAATTTAAATGAGATTTATAAGTTATCTGAAGAGCTTATCATTAGACTGTTTTTTTCAATCTTTTATTGTTTTGCGGTTCACTAATATACCAAAAAACTGCATTAAAGCTATAGCAGCATTGATTCATTCAAATGAGTTCAATTTTAATGAATCAAGTCAAAACAATTCGCTTGTGTCATCACTATTCTGACTGATGACAAATATTCAATATATTAATCTATTAATAAAATAGTAAAATTATGTGGTAAATTGCTGATTTTTTCTATATTGCTCAGCCCTATGCCCAACTGATGAAACAAGTTTTTAAAAGTTAATATAAACATGTTTAATGCACAAACACTCTCCTTAAAGTAAAAAAAAACAAAAAAAAAACAACGTTTTGGTTTGAGATATACATAGCATGCATACATCTCGTAAGTCATTCATTTTCAATTTCATAGCCAACCGTTGAGTGTGCTTTGGTTGATGTCATAGATTTGGATGGGGTTCAGAGGTGTCACATCGCACGCCTGTGCTGATAGCCTGTGTCCACTGTGTGGCGCTGTGCTGTGTGTCCTGTGTTGAGTGCAGAGCTGCAGCTGGTGGTGGAGCAGCACTTTCAGAGGCAGGAGCAGCAGGAGGCGGGGCTCTCTGACAGCCCAGACACGCCCAGTCCAATCACAGCACAGCATTTTGACAACGAAGCTCAGTGGGCCAATCACAACAGCTCAGAGCCCAATGGCAATGAGTCTTATGTCAGTACTGAGGGGCAGCCAGGCAGCAGTGGGGCCGGGGGTAAGTCCAGAACAAAAACTGGGAAGGGGCGAGGTTAAATCTCAGGGTAAAATAAATAAATCATTATGGAGGACCAAAGTACGTTACAGTAAACAGCGAATTAAGAATTAAATAAATCAAAACATGAATAGTTAAATCAATGTTATTATTCGTAACTACTCTCAAAAACTACTGAATGTCATTAATAATTCTGAAAAATATTCTATTTATTATGAAAAACCTCTCGTGCCGAAAATGCATGATTCATCCATACAGGTGTCATTCAGAAATATAGCTTTTTATTATTAAATTAAATGCAGTTTTAGTTTTGTATAAAACGTGTTTTAACAAATAATTGTGTTTTTATTACAAAAATGTGTATATTTAATTATTTCAAAAATTAATTATTGATTGTATCTTTGAAAAATAAATGGGTGCCTTTATTTTGTTGTTACGAAATAAATGGATACATTTATTTGTATTTATTTATTGATTTTATGACTTAATTTCGAGTGCTTTTACCCTCCATAAACAATCTCTTGGTGCACGAGCATGTGGAAGAAAAGCTGATTGCTTGGACGGCAGATCTGCTGGACTTTACTGACAAGACTTTTTTTTTGTCTCTGTCTCTCCTCCACTTTCTTTTAAAATCCTCATTCTTTTTTCTATTATTATTTTCAACATTATTATTATCCATTGTTTTGTATATTCATATGCAGGAGACACAGCAGACACCTCAGGAAGTGAGCAGAAAAACTTGAGCAGTCCTTCATCTGTCTCTCGATAGCCATAATAATGTACCCGGCGCGCCGTAGACCCGTCCCAAACGTTTACTGTCCCCTCCACTCTTTGGAATAAGAAGACATGTTTTCTCTAAATACATGCATTGTACTTTCTCAGCTCTTTCTAAGTTCCCTTCCAGTGATGACTTCCTTGAATTCGTTTTATTTGTGTCAAATGTAATGCTTGTTCTTCACTTTGAAATCTGTACTGAAATGATCTGACCTGTTTGTTTTTCTATTTGATAAAATGGCGTTTTGAAATATTTCCAATATGTAGATCTGTGGCACCAGAAATGTGGGCAGAATATTTTGGCACTTTCAGAAGAGTTGTAACAATTTCTTTATTGGTATTGGTTCACTTGTAAAGTAGAGACAATGACATAAATAAAAAAAAAAATTGGAGCTTGAAATAAAAAAACAAGGAATGATGTAAATAATTTTGAGTAAGCGCTGTTTATCTAATGTTACTGTCATTTTGGTACTACATTACCCATGATGCTGTGCAAAAATCCACCAGTCAGAATCAAAACAACCAAATCATGTCAAAACACTGTAAAAAAATGTTGTTGGTTTAACTTAAAAAAGTAAGTAACCGGGTTGCCTTAAAATTTTAAGTTGATTGAAATGGAAAAATGAAGGAGATTGATTTAATCATCAGAAACTAAAAATAATAAGTTATCTGAACTAAATAAATTATTTAAGTTGATTTGACAAAAAAAAGTGATATGTTTTGCAGTGTATAGTAAATGTTTTACAGTGTATAGCTCGTTTATCAAATCATTTTTCTCTCAAAATACAAATATGCATATTGGCAATAACTTAAAATATATTGTTTATACACTGTAAAAAAATATTTTCAAGATTTGTTATCGCAACATATTTTCTTTTGTCAAATCAACTTTATAATAATTTATTTAGTTGAGATAACTTATTATTTTGAGTTTCTGATGGTTAAATTAATCTACTTCATTGTATTAACTCACTTTTTCCAGTTTTATCAACTTAAAGTTTTAAGGCAACCCAGGTTACTTACTTTTTTAAGTTAAACCATCAATATTTTTTTTTACAGTGTATATATAATCAACATTTTTTAATGAGTAGTTTTCTATTTCTCCATTGTTTTTTAATTTGATTATGCTGTTCGCAATGCTTTATTGCAGCTAAAGCCTTTACGTACACATTCTTGTAAATTTGTATTTTTGTCGATTTTCATATACTTCTTCTGCAACAAATCAAAGTTTGCAATGTTGTGATTTACCTTGGCTAGCAAGTTGGCCTGGTTATAATGTTTTAAACAAAGTAAAAAATGTTTTTTTTTTTGTAAAAAAAAAAAAAAAAAAAATCCCTATGGAGAAATGAATGGAAATATACTTCCAGAACCAACGCCTCTAAAAAAGTGGGCGGGCACTGTTGCACTCTATTCAAAATTTAATACCTCTGTAGTGAGATTTGATTGCTGACTTGAAATATGTTATTGAAACAATCTTGAGTGACTGGAAATGTTGGTCTTTCCCACTGAAGTAGACATGAGTGGTAACTTTATTTATTTTCTAATGTAGGCTACTAATGTGTTTGAAGCTTGTGATTAGCCCATTTCTGCAGTTCTGTTTGCTCAAAAATGACACGCATCACCTTTAAGAAAAGAGCTTATTGGAACCTCCTAATTGTATTTACTCTATTGCATAAAGATGATCGCTATGAAATTGACCTAGACTTTAGTCAACTGGATCTAAAGAGGTAAGTCAGGTCACACTGAGACTGATGCATGCTGGGACTCATGCTGTGTTCGTCCTGCAGGTAGAGAGCACAGCGATAGCCAACAAGAGGAAAGGGAGAGTCATCCTCCTCCGAGACTCTCTCAGAAACAGCTGGACACACTGTCAGAGGAACCCGGAGACCTGTCACCACGACGCAAAGACACACCGTACCAGCACCAGCCACCGTTCGTCCCCGGTAGGACCAGATCATAAGCTCATAAGATATGGAAATGTGACGTGTAGGAAAAGCTTTCACTGCGATTTGCAGATTATGTTGATTTTTTGTTGGTCCTGGAACAGCATTGCTATCAACCAATAAGATTTCAAGGTAATGTTTTGGATTAAAGGAGAAGTTCACTTTTAAAAAACCTTTTGCTGATAATTTACTCAACCCCATGTCATCCAAGATGTCCATGTCTTTCTTTTTTCAGTTGAAAAGAAATTAAGGTTTTTGATGAAAACATTCCAGGATTTTTCTCCATATAATGCACTTCAGCGGGAACCAAACGGTTCAAGGTCCAAAAGACAGTTTCAGTGCAAAGCGAACCGATTGTTCATTTAAAAAAAAGTTAAGTTTTAGAAGCTCAAATGCTCGCCCTGCTCTGTTCTGTGATGCACGTTCGTGACTCTCCTGTTCGAACTTGTTCATCAAATTGAACAAATCTTTTTCCAAGTCAATTCGTTCATTTCGTTCGTTGAAAAAGATCACGAACGTACATCACAGAACAGAGCAAGGCGAGCATTTGAGCTTAAAAAACAAACTTTGTTATTTATTTTTTTAATGAGTGATCGTTTCGCTTGATAAGACCCTTATTCATCATCTGGAATCATTTAAAGCCCTTTAAACAGTTTGCAGTTTGCACTGAAACTGTCTTTTGGACCTTGATCCGTTTGGTTACCAGTAAAGTGCATTATATGGAGAAAAATCCTGGAATGTTTTCATCAAAAACCTTAATTTCTTTTCAACTGAAGAAAGAATGACATGGACATCTTGGATGACATGGGGGTGAGTAAATTATCAGCAAAAGTTTTTTAAAAGTGAACTACTCCTTTTTTGTTCCATTTACTTCCATTCATTGAACGCTTGGTAAACTTGAACCTTAGCATTCAGAAAATACAAGCTTGACCAAAAGAAAACCCAATGCCACATCCACACAGCAGCAGAACGTGAAAACACTTTCTAGTATTATGAATGTCATCATCTTTGAGGTTTCATTTAGTCACTTAAAGTTAACAGTCAATTTATGGTGCGAGAACAAAACTGATTGACATCGGTTTGTTCAGACCGTACGCCTATGATTCAAATACTGTAAGCTGTTATGTGAAGGTTTAAGAGTCACACCTGTTATGCACTCACTGTAAAAAAATATTTTCAAGATTTGTTATCACAACATTTTTTCTTTTGTCAAATCAACTTAAATAATTTATTTAGTTGAGATAACTTATTATTTTGAGTTTCTGATGATTAAATTAATCTCCTTAATTGTATTAACTCACTTTTTCCAGTTCAATCAACTTAAAATTTTTAGGCAACCAGGTTACTTACATTTTTAAGTTAAACCAACAATATTTTTTTACAGTGTGGAAAGGTGTAAGCTGACGTTTGCTCAAATCTCTTCACAGGGGTAAAGGTGCTGAAAAAACAAACAGACCCGTCTTCACTTTTCCAGGAGGAAGAGGAGAACAACGGAGACCGAAAAGACAGTCAGACAGAGTAAAAATGGCTGAATGACACGAGGAAGTGACATCATTTATAATATCCTTTTGGAACCGTTTTGTTTTTTTAAACTTGTTTATATGTAACTTTTTTTTCAATGATTAAAATAATTTGAAAGTAAATTTCATCTTGCAGGTGTTAACAATTAATATAGTCGGCGTCACTCCAAAATACTATTCAATCCAAAACGTGGTGTCAAAACGCTGAGACTTTAAACTTTCAGTGGTTAGAAGTTCATTTTGAGTATTTACTTTTTTTTACACCATTGTACATTGTGGTAATGTGTTTTATTTCATGTTAACTTTCTTGTTGTTACATTTCATAATGAGTATAAGAAAACGGATGCTCCGTCGATGATGATTTAGCAATACTTTGGGAAGAATGTGAAACCAATCACATCCTGCCACATTATTTTGATCACCTCTCGTGGAAAGAGGCTGAGGCGGCATTGATGAATCTTTCTCTGACAGAAGCAATATTTTTGTAGGTATGACAGTTTTTTAATGCAGACGTGACTCTGAAGTCCCACACGGCTGTTGTACAGTCTCTGACACGAGTGTCTGAAATGTGGGGATGGAATTAAAGCTGCCTGATCATGCTAAGCAGGGTTTGAAATGAACACTGACCAAATGCGGGTGAAAATCCACTGTGGCGGGTAACTCATTTCAACGCAGGCCAATTTGGCGGGTTATGATTCATAAATTATGTTCTATCACTTTGCATAGCATAACTATCAGAGCCCTTCCCCTAAAAGGAGCCTCCCCAGACAGCAACATAGTGTCGGCCCAGATCCGGCCCACATCTAGTACACATGGATTTCACACGGCCCGGATATGGGCCGGATCTGGGCCGACACTATCCTGCTTTGCAAAACAATTTATATAGGTTCATGCACAGAGAACGCCACGTCTTTAACTCTATGCCCACTACCACCAGTTTTTTAGTTTTTTTCCGAAAGCTTCAGCCCTATAGCTCGTCCTGGGTCGACATTTCATTCATTAATAAGCAGTTTGATTTATATAGGCTACTGTCTGATGATCGCGTTATTTATATGCTTACATATGGCTAGTTTCTTCTTCTTATTCGCCTGTGTTATTTTGATCAGGAGGTTTCAGTTCTCATTCAGAACTTAAAGACGTGTAATAGCGTCTACAGAATATAGAATTTCCGTCAATGGTGGGGAAAGAATTAAAATTCGAATTCAACACATTGTTATGCACACTGACAGAGCCAAACTATGACTCCAGCTGTTGACTGACTCGGCACCACAGCGTCAGTTTTCCATTAAAAAAACACACAAGAATTCAGTACAAATACTGTATATGTACATAATGACTTCACCCTAGGATATTGTGCATATTTCAGTCACAGTAATTTGTGGATTGAATAGCCTAAATATACTTCATAGCAAAGAGAAATCATATATATTGCACTTTCTCTTTCCATTTGCTCTTTTTACAAATGCCTTAATTCAAAGTCTAACAACACTTAGTTCATTCTTGAAGTGAACTTCTGTGTGTATTATGAATAGTTTCACTGGTTTGGACTGGTGTGTGATAAACAACTATACGAGAGGTCACAGAGAATTTTGTTTTTATTTCCATTTTATTTGAATGATATCCGCAAACATTGATCGACTGTTGTAAAGCTGAAAGCAATGCAATGATTCAGAATCAGATTTAATAATAAATATATTTAAATCTAAGCTGTGACTGATAATCTGGTTTATTTCTGATAGGTTTGTTTTGGCTAGTTCTGAAGTTTAGTAGCCAAATATGTCAGTGAGTGAAAAGGTTTTTTTCAAACCCTGATGCTAACATGGTTATTTTCAGCCCATTCTCACCCCCAAGGCGTCACTTAACTGACGCCTTGGGAAGCATTTGGACATGCTTCAATATCTGACGCTTTAGGCGCCCTTTAGCGTCAGTTAAATGACGCCCTAGGATCGCGTGTACCCTACCCCCACCCCACACCTAAACCTAACAACGTCCTCTGACGCTTTCCTTTAGCGTCAGTTAGATGACGCCGTAGGATCGCGTCATGTAAGTGACGCTAAAGGGCGCCTAAAACGTCAAATATTGAAGCATGGTCAAAGGTGACGCCTTGGGGTGAGAATGCGTTGTTATTTTAGATCTTCTGACACACACACACAGACACACATACACAGGAAGCGACAAGAAGCAAACCACAGTACCAATGTCAATAACAAATTTAGTGAAAGCCTACTTTGGAGATCTGCAATTTAGTTTCTCAACTCCAAAATTCAGCACTGCATGAGTCATGACAATGCTTAGAGTTCGGATTAATGGCAGCATGCACCATTTCTCCACTGGCTTTTACTATGGCAATGGAAGTAGTCATTAGGGCATCAAGATGGGTAGTAGGAGGAGAGTTTCTGGGATGCGACCACCAATCAGAGCATGGATGGCATGACGAAAGAAAAAAAGAAAGAAAGAAAGAAAAAAGGAAAAGAAAGAAAGAAAGACAGAAAGAAAGAAAGAAAGAAAGAAAGAAAGAAAGAAAGAAAGAAAGAAAGAAAGAAAGAAAGAAAGAAAGAAAGAAAGAAAGAAAGAAAGAAATGCTTTACTGTCCGCATCCACGCACGGTAATGGAGGTTTTTTTCAAATTTTTTGCCGCTCCAGTCAGAAAGAGAGAAAATGAAAACAAGTTAAATTTATTTTTAAAAACCTAAAAGATTCGGGGCTTTTGACAAAACATTCGGGGCTTAAGCCTAATTAGCCACCCCCTCACCCAGAAAATTACTGAGATTAAAAAATATTTTAGAAAGTTGCCTGCTCTGAAAATACCTGAATAATTTGCGCATTGGTTTGGGACAGGTTCACTAATGCAAGCAAATACATGCAGTTATATTTCTCTCCTTTAGGTGTCACTGTTGTTTTGCTCTTCCCCAGGTAATTATGCTGAGGTACGCTAATGAATCTTCTCAGTTTTCAGGTAGTATCAAGGTCACAGAAATTTAGACGGGCATTCATTTACTAGGGAGGGATAAGCACAGTCTCACAGCACAAACTAAGATTAGGAGCCTTTACATTTCTTCTTGGGACATCCCCGCCGCAAATGTGATGCAGTCGCTTGCACAAGAGATAAAATCCTTCTCCAAAAGTAAATTGCGAAAACAATGCACCAGAGTAACGACTTTGAGCGGCAGGCGGATTATTGAGACATGGAGAGGCTCCACTGTACAGGTGGTTGAGGAAACTGTACAGCCTGAAACTGCATGTGGATATGTTCAGGATAATAACTGGGATCTTCAGGTCGGATATATTAAACCATATATGTTGCTTGGTGAGTAGTTGATCTTCTCATGTAACAAAAATACGTATTACCTCCCATGATGGCCTGTTTTACGTATTTTTGTTAAAAAAATGACCTATTTTTTGTTATAAAAAAACCCTGTTATCATTATAAAATGTTATGTATAGAATTAAATGATTAAAAACTTTGTATTTTAATGTAGTACATTGTGTACGTAATGAATGCATTAAATGTATGTGATAAAATAGCCTATAAATGATAAAAAAAACTTTTTACTAATGATTCTAATCATGTAATATATTCTAGATTTTTAGGTTACACTTAACTTTAAGGTGTCATTGTTACAGTGTAATTAATATTAATCAGCAACATTACTATTAGGTTAGGATAATGGATTGGTTGAGGTTAGTTGCAAGTAATTATGCATAATTACTATGGTAAATACATGTAACATATAACAAGGACAACATATGAAGTATTAGCATTTTTTATACATCCCAATAGTAATTAATGATTTTTAATCAATTTCATAGGGTCACAAGATGCCGCTCATGACTTTGGTACTTTGAGGAAATATAAGGTAATGTGCTTGATTGATTTCTTATTTACTTGATTTCATTATAGCATTTTATAATGTAACTATATTTGATGACATATGTGTTTCCATTGATTTCAGGTCACACATATATTAAATGTTGCGTATGGCGTGGAAAATGCCTTCCCTGACTTGTTCATCTATAAGACACTGAGCATAATGGATCTGCCTGACACTAATATCATATCATATATCAAGGAGTGTGCACAGTTTATAGACCAGGCTAAAGCTGAGGTAACGTTTGCCTTTTGTTTCTTTGCATAGTCTCATAATTATATACATTCGGTTGATATTGCACAAATTCATTTGTTTTTGCTCAAATTCTTGCATTTTGCATCATGTAACACCAATGTATGGAGGTCTGGCAGCATTAAAAGGGGGATATTTCATTCTCTCAGTGTAATTTCCTGAGTGTTGGGCTTTAGCGCCTGGCCTATGTGATACTGCATCGGTCATCCAATGGCTAACTCTCTTATTCCAGGTGACCATGCGGAGTGCTGAATAATGGATGCTGAGTTTTCACAATGCATTATTCAGCAAGTTGTAGAAAGATCATATCACTAACGGGCCATTGTTTGTCATACAACCTCTTTACTAAATAGTGTCGCCAGTCACCCTTAACCTGACACTGCCTCATGATTCAAATTCTCTCAGGTTTATGATTACAATGGCTGCTGGAAATAAGTTTCCATTCCTTTGTAAAATGAGCGTAGCACCTCCCGCCACCTAATTTACTATGTAGTCTATGATGCATAGGGAAACAACAGCTCGGTTAATCAATTGATGTTCTTCTCGACTCGACGGAATGTGGTTCTCTCACCCGTGGCTTGCAATTTTGTAATTCCTTGCAATTAGCATAGGATTAATTACATGCTTTATAATGGAGTATGTAATGATGTGAAATGAAATGCCTCCATAGAGGGATTCCAGTAGCTGCTGTTGGACTGAACAGTTGTTTTCTCTCTCCAGAAAGGAGTCGTACTGGTCCACTGCAATTCTGGAGTTTCGCGTTCTGTCTCGGTTGTCATCGGATATCTGATGTTAATGGAAAATCAGCCATTTGGTGACACGTTTGCGCTGGTGAAATCTGCTCGACCGGCCTCTTGTCCAAATCCAGGTTTCATGGAACAGCTGAAAAACTTCAGACCACAAGACGCTATACAAGCAAATGGTTTGGGTCATGATTGAACATTATTCTATACGACTGCATCCACTCAATGTTAAAAGGATAATTCACCACATAATTACAATTCTGTCTACATTTCTCATTCTCGCATCTTTTTGAAGCTTTAGGGCTTTTCTGGTCTCACTTTATATTAGGTGTCTTTAACTACTATGGATTTACTAACATTAATGCACTTACAGTATTGAGTTTATACACCTATCCCTAACCTTACCTGTATTGTTTTTGCAATATAATATAATATATATTTTTGATGTAGGTACACCTAATATAAAGTGTGACTACTCTCTTTCTTATGTAAAACACAAACTGTGCTACATAAGCTGCTCTAATCTACTCGTTTCCTCAGTAGATTAGTGAATAGCTGTCAATCATATTTTTAAAGGCAAGTTTGGTGAATAACTTACATTTGAGTCTGTTCCTCACACAAAGCTTAGAATATAGCACATGAGTTATATGCAACCACTTTTATGGAGTTTTTTTTTCACACAAAAATGATATGAGGGTGAGTAAATATTGGCAGAATATTTTTTTTTTTTTTTTTTTGTGAACTGCTCTTTTAAAGCCACCAGTGCTTCCATTGCAGTCTCATGTGGCTTTGATTTAACACTTTGGACTTGTCTTATGTGCTAAACCAGCTAATAAGGAAGAGTGTTCTGGAAAGGTTCTCTCAATAAATGTTCTTCCAGTAACATTAACAGAACATTCGTTCAAAGTTATCTGGTGTTTAATAATGTTCTCATTTATATTATATTTAACTGTTACTACTTGTTTCAGGATGTGTTTCAGAAAACATTCAAAAGTAACAATCCAATAAGTTTGCAAAAATTCATATAATTTGGCTATTTAAAAAAAATACATTTAGAAAGTTAAGCGATCATTCGGAAATAATGTTATCATAAGGTTATGGGAACATGAGCAATACGTTCTTCAAACATTTTATTGTTAGCTGGGAATATGACACAAGTGAGTACACTTGCCTGTGACATTACAACAACACTGTAAAAAAATGTTCTGGAAATTATCTATTAATTTAAAGACATTTCTTTTAACCCTAAAACACAATGCAATGCAGTGCATAATTGAACATACTGATAAAACTTGTAAAAAAAAAAATCCTTCATGTTAATGCAGCGAGTAATTCAGACAGTTTTGTATTAAATGACAGGAAGAGTGAATTGCAGTACAAAGAAATTCACGCTAATTACAGAAGAGTTTGCATTAGTTCCCATTTCCAATATACCATATTATTTGTAATTCCGTAAATCCAATTACAGTTCAATTTCAGGAATCCACATTCAAAGGCCATTCACACCCAGACACTCATTTTAGGAGCTTATATGGGGTATATATGCCGTATAACAATAAATCAGCATTTAGATGCAGTTATCATCCTGTTCTGCTAAATTCATCAGGCGGTTTATAATCTTCTTATCTGATAGTGACATCTTGTGGTCACAGCTCACATTTAGCCTTTTCATTTGTTTTGTAAAATTATTAGATCCAATTCAGATAATAAATAAATAAAGAATAACATTCTGTTCTTAGACCAGCTTCTTACTTAGTAAGTTGGTCTTAGATAATAAGGCATTTTGTCATCATTTAACTTCCCTGGTTTGCGTCTGGGATGTTAAGCTATATTTAATGCAATAAAGAAACTTATCAACTATAAAGAGACCAGTTGAAGAAATATTCCTGTTACATCAACTTTTAGCACATTTTCTTTTGTAATTTTGTACTTTTCATTATATATTTGATTGTTTTTGTCCATAGATTGCATAGTAATGTAGTGTTTTTTTTATTATTATCTTGTTTAAACCTGTTGTGATTTTCTGAAGGTAGTAATTTTTCATCATATTTTTATTTCTTTATTAAAACTTCTTGAATTTTGTGGTGTAGACTGAGCCTGTTTTTTGATGTTTAGGTATGAATGTGTGGAATGAATTATATATTGAATAAAATATGTGTATAAAGATACTTTAAATGACTCTCTCTATTTTTTATAAACTGTGTTTTTGTCATTGCCTTTAATGAAAAAGTCAAAATAAAAAAAAACAAACAACTAAATTTCAGTCAAATTGAACGTTTTCAAAAACTACATTGGCCCCATAAACATAACATAATCTCACTTTATTTTCCATGGCATAGATAGTCTACTGAGAGAATATTTAATGGAACAATGAATGTTTGGAATCGCTTATCAAGTAGGCTAGGTGTTATTTAGATATTTGCATTATTTTTATTTTATTTTTTTAACAAAAAATGTTTTAAATTTATAAAGAGACTATCTTGTTCCAAATGAATCTACTTCTGCAAAATATTTAGTTTGAAACGGTTTATTTATAAAACATTTAGAACAGGCGGGGTTGTAGCGCCCTCTGTGTGTTCGTGATGCGAGGGCGTGCATGTCCGCCAATACATGAGGATGCCTGAGGTAGCATGTTGCCTACATGAGAAAATTACTAGTGAACCGAGATGAGTTATCTCGCAAACATAGGGAAACTCTTTGTGCAGTTGTCGTCACTTCAGCTCTATCTCCTATGTTGTTGATAAACTCGAGGATTTGCTTTTCCACATGGGCACTTTCTCATCCAAGCTCTCCAGGAGAAACATTGTGACCGTGAAGCCCAGAGAGTCCGATGACGGCAGAGCAAACCGGGATCCGACCAAGAGCCAGACTCGGGTCATTAAAAATTCAGTTCAGAAGGTCAGCCGGGAAGTTCAGAGGGAGTCTGTCATCACTGAGGGAGGCAAGTGTTGAGAGTTTCATTGCTGTTTTCAACTCTGTCCTTGCTGAGAGAAAGTTCGACATGGTCCAATGACGGTTCTGTTTGTTAACTTTCAAGGCGGGTAAAATTCTGTCAGGCATTTGGTTACCGCTTAATTTTAGTGACATTTATATCAAAGCTATGTTTTTATATCAGATAATAATTAATTCACAATTTATTACAGGGGATTTATCACTTATGAGGTGCGAATTAAGGTTTGAATCCCTCAAGGGAGGTCTAAATACATAAAATTATGGCAACGTCAGACACAAAACATCGACAAAATATCATAAGTAGCCTAGTAATTTATTTTGTTATTATAGATGTACACAACACAAAAATATAAAATCATTAGTGTTAGTTAAGCCTACTCAAACATTAAGTCACCATAAAGTCAAATTTGACAATTCATATTTGTTATGGAATATTGCTGTAGCCTATTTGTTATAAATTATTTATTCAAGAAAATATGCAAGGTGCCCTCCCTCATAATCTTTTTTTTATCAAAATAACTTTACCAACTCTACTCTGATGATGTGTATACTGGCTCTAGGGCGGTACAACCTGTCACTCACATGAGACCAACCAATAACAAACCACAACCATCCAACAATCTAATCAATTTCCAATGGACAAGATCAAGTCCCGCCCTGTTTTTGTTTGTTTTTTTCCTTTTCAAGAAGCTGGCTGCATCCAAAATAGCATACTTTCTTGAGTAGGTACTTATTTTGAATAAAAATGCCACTAAAAATGTATGAATGCTATAGCCTATATAGTATGAACTCGTGTGTTTAGTATGAATGTAATCCAGACATACGACATTTGTCATGTTGCCATTATAATGTGATCCACCACATCCCTTTACTGTCATTCACTAATCCTCTACTTTGGGATAGTGAACTGTCCATTTTATTCACACTTAAGAATCTCGCTGGAAGTATGTCATCTGGGTACTTTTTCCCACTCTTTTACGAGTACAGTGAGTTTGGACATACTAGGGCTTCATTTGTCACAAAATGTTTTTCGCCTACAATAAGGGAAGTAGGCTATGCGTTTTTGGATGCAGCCGTTGTTTCACTAAGTCACAATAGGGAAGAAAACACTATTACAACTTCTGTTTCATGCCAACTTTATAACCTGGGGGTTAGCTAACTCACACGAAAATACCTACAGGAATTCATTCAAAAAGTTGACCTCTCTAAAAACTCATTGAATAAACATCATGCACAATATTTAGTCAGATATGAGGTCTTTCCTTTAGACCTCGTCTGTTTATCATGGATTTCTTCAGCAAAAGCTGAATTCAGTATTTACAATGTTATCTGTACCAAGCACATTTTAAATATATATATATATATATATATATATATATAAAACAGTTTATATAAAAAACAGTAAAAGTGGAAAACATTCAAATATAATTGTTTTGGTGGAAATGTATGGGTAATAGTTTTGCATGCATCTTCAAAATGACCTGTTGGCTTGGGAACGAATATTAGTTCCATTTTGAAATTGCCTTTAAATGGTACAGTTGGTCAATTAATTAGAAAATTAAAAATGGTTGATATAAGATTTTTTAGACTAAGTGTTCTAGTAGAGATACATTTTTGAGCAAAAAAAACCTCAATAAATAAATATAAACCAATTTATTGGTCTTGTTCAACCAGTAAATGTTATTTGTAATGTGTTACATACATAAATGTACTCAAACTTCATGTTGAACAGGTTTCATACATGTGGCCACATGGGCCACTCACGCTAAACACTAGGTGAGCAATATGAATATTAATGCACTTCCAAGATGACATGACATGGCCAGTATTTCACTGCTGTCTTTGTCATGGCAACCCCTGTACAATATTAATAGAGTGTCACCGTAGGTCTTGTTTCTTTAGAGAATGCATTATAATGATTTGAATCTTACTATTTTATTTCAAGCCTCTTGGACGTAAAGGGGTTGAGTGGGCAGAACAAAGCCGGTGGAATTCATTACGAGGCCTCTCTGCGGCGTCGATTGGGATGCTGCGATTGGGGGCTAATTTGCTCGTCGTTGTTTTGGTTGCCAACCGTTCTGGATGGCTGCGAGGAAAGCAATTAAAGATTTTGTCTTATGGCCAAATGAAGAGCAATTAAGAGGAATGAATTCAGACTCTTTATTTCACAATCACACTGAAGAGCTGTTGGTGGTTAGATTAGCATAAGTGCTGGCAGCTTTCTTTGTTCCCAGTGGTTTTTTTTTGACCCCTAGTAACTCACAAACAAATCTACTGTTATCCATAGAAGTGGAGCTCATAAAAAGTATTTTCAAATTCAATATTGCATTTTAGGGGCTATATGTAGAATTAAGAAACCCTTGTTATTAGCGACACCAGTGGCCATTAGAAGAACTGCAGACAGCAACTTACTGCTCGTTCTCGCACTCGTGCAGAACATGCAGGGTTCATATTTAAATAGTCTTTTTGCAGTTTAATATACTGGTCGCCGTTCGCTGTCTCAGCGCTTTCACGAAGAGGATGCAACTTCACGGCCTTCGTGCATGCATGCGCATCCAGAACTGGGTTTGACCGGGTACTCAGTACCTACGATACTTGTACCGTGACGCTTAACCCTTTTACGCATACGATCACACCGCTGTGGTCAGTCTTGGCTGGTCCCTGGAGCGTATGATCACACCGGTGTGAATAAAACGGTCAGTTCATCATGTGATCAACTGCTAAATTCAAACGTGCTTTCGCGCGCTGGCTGGCGTTTAGTCCTGTTTACAGTCTATGGTCATATCACAACTATTGAGTGTTTTCAACCACATAAAATGTTTATTTTAGGTTTCAGACATTTAAATATACATAAGTACTAGCAAAACAATGATTTTGAGTTCGTAAAATACAAACTAATGCCTATGGAAGCGGCAATAATAATCCTTTCCATTATAATATATGAAATGTTTTATTCATATCAGATACAAATTGTGTAAGGAGCTTTAGATTTGACTCTATTCTTCTCCCAGTACACCAGCCACTTATTTTCATTCGTGAGAAGTGGAGGAATTTACGTGTTGTAAATCCAACAGATCCGATTCTCTGAACTGTAAAACAAACTAAAATGGCGCCACCCATTGTGCATACAGCTCAACTAACGCGATCGTTATAAAGATGTTTAAACAACAAAACATCCACTTGCACATATTTGACAATCGGAATATCAGTGTTTCATGCTATAGCTAATACGTTTGTGAATATTTGTAATAAAAAAAGAAAAAATGACATGTCAAGCAATGACACGTCACCATGGAAACGTTAAAGTGACAAGTTCTAAATAACGGTCACCTTGAAAAACTCACGCTGGGGGGGTCAGTTTACATATTTTAAACTTGCGTGTGAAAGGGTTACATTTTTAGTACCGACTTGGTACCGAAGTACCGAATATTTTGACAACATTAAATTATATCGATCTGGCTATGTACGACTATAGGCTAGTTTGAATTAATCCCTTTTCTTTGCATGACACATACAGTAGACTTTATACAACCTAATAACTCTTTTGGCATTATCCTGAACATTGTATAAGCATTCGTTTCATGTGTCTTTGAACGGAAGAGAGGCTCTCTGAAGCACACATAAACGTCACATCCTTTTGATTTTTTTTCTGGCAGAAATGTCTCGAGTCGTTCACTTAAAAAGCCATCAGGCTTTCATAGACAACCTAGAAAGTTGGAGAAGGTCTCGTTTTTCATGTTTCTTTACAAGCTGTTCACCCATTGGCAATTAACATACTTGAAAATTCTTAAATATAGCCCCTTAACTATATCTTTAATTTATCATCTGCTGAGCATTTATAAGCTTTTGCAACCCTAACTAAAGCAAGTTTTCCCTCCGCAACTGTGTTGGAAGAACTGAGGTTAAGTTACGCCAGTGGTTGTGTTAATTGGTGTAGTGATCTATATTTTAAAGCCCATAATTAAGTCTTTGAGTTCCCGTAATAATGACTCGCCATTGCCTTGTAAATGTGTCTGCAGACTAGTGATCCTATGTAATGAAGAAGGTTTCCAAATGCCTTCTGTCCATTTGAGACCTAGGCTTGCTGTTGCATATCAGTTCTACTTGTAGATTTAATATGTTAATGTTATCAATGTGAAGCTGCTTTGATACAATCTGTATTGTGAAAAGCACTATATAAATAAGTGTGACTTGACCTGACTTAATACTGTTTCAT